GGGTGGAAGTTTTCTGTAGGTTATTAATTAAATTATAGGCGCCCGACTTCAATAGCATTTTCTTGAGTAAATCGTTTTTGAGATAAGTATTATTTATCACTTTTTTATGTATTTTTGCACTAAAAATATTAAATATCTATGTAAATAAAAATATTTGTTTATTTGCTCGATTTTTCCAATAATCTATATTTATATTTTATAGAGAAAATATTTGATTGCTTGTTTGTTTGCATAAGCTTTGCATTGGATAGGCCCCGAAACTATTGGACCGATTTATAAAAGTCTTTCATCTACGGGAAACTACATAATACCCAGTAAACATAAATTATAATTTACGCAAGCAAAGTCGTGGGGAACAGCTATTTTGATAGTTCACAATTCAAGAAGAAACAGATGATCATTGAACCCTTATATGTATACTTTACTCATTGATACCTACTATCTATGACTTTCATAAAAAAACACGTCAAAGAGTAAAGTGTACTTGTTGAACATAGTAAAATCTTCCTTTCATATTTTGAATGAATTCTAAATACGCAATATTTTATTTTTTAGCTGAAATGGGCCATGTCATAACATATCACCTAAATATTTTGGTGATATTTGTTGGAAAGCATATTTTTTATTTACAAAAGGAAAACAAATTATTCGGTTTCAATAAAATTTTAATAGGATAACCGCGACCCATCAAGCTGTCGAATAAAAAAAAGAATTTTGAAAATCGGTCTACAATTGACGAAAATATCGGTGAACATACTTAAAAAAAAAACATACATCGCCGTCGAACATATAACCTCCTCCTTTCCGATTTTTAAGTCGGTTATAAAAACAGCATTCTCTATAAGACAACCATCTGGAAAACACCTAGTCAAACCCGAGAGCAGTGTAACTGAGTAATTAGACATTCATTTTTACACTTAATAGACAGTAGAACTGTAGTATACGCATACGCAACGATCTCGGTTCTATTGTAGCAAAAAATAATAACCAGTCACATAACCAGCAACAGTTGCTATTCGCAATCAGCTCAGTAATAAATTACCGCAATTACTAAATTATTCCCAGCTTCTAGATTAATCTAGAACTCGGGCCGCAGTCCGACGCGGCCGCTCTTACATTATTACAGCATTCATTAGAGTTCGCTAATTACTCCTTGCTTTAATGAATAAGCTCTAATGAACCACTTTCTGTTAATTAAAGGCGGCAAGGGGTGGGGGATGACGGGGTTAGGGGGGAAGTTTTCTCCTGGCTCTGATTGCAAATGTGAATTTGTGTAAGTTTAAGTAGAAAGAGTGTTTCCAGTGAAAAGGGGTAATGAGCCAGTAGAGTGATGCCGAGTTAGTTGCAACGGCGATAGTATATTTATATTACAAGATAGGTGGACAATTTATATGTACTTTATTGTTTAGAATCTATTTGGAGATCAATAATTTTTATCACGTTTCTTTTTATAATTGTTCCTAGGGTTACTATCTCTAGAACCACCCTTTTATCTCAATAAACTATCATCATCATCATCATCATCAGCCCTTTTACGTCCCCACTGCAGGGGCTCAGGCCTTCCTTATGGATGGTTAAGGAGGATGGGCCATGACCCTCCACGCTGGCCCAATGCGGATTGGAGGGTATTAAAGACAGCAAATGCACCCGAAACCAACGGCTTAACGTGCCTTCCGAAGCACGGAGTAGCTCGAGATAATAATTTTTTTGGTCACCCATCCCGTGACCGACCCTTGCGAGAGGTGCTTAACGACTACGATCGCGGGCCGCGGCACACCTCCACTACGCCGCCAAGCTACTCGGTGGCGTAGTGGATAAGCGCCGCGGCCGCGCCGCGTTATAGTTTATTATAATCTTAAATCTTAAGATTATAATAAACTATGATATAATCTTAAGATTTAATAGACGATGTGATTATTGTGCATTCATAAACACAAACTTGGGCTATGAGTACTTCATAAGTTTATAGCTCCGTTAATAAGCGTGTACATTAACCATTCAATTACAGTTTATCGGCGAATACAGGAACCTGATGAAACAATTAGCTCATATGAATGAGACTCTGTTAATTATTGATTTGGAGCAAATTATGAAAATATTTCAGCAAGGTAAAACGAATAATTAATGAGCGTGAAAATAAAAGGTTCGTGTGGATTAACAAATAATGATTTGTATAGGTATATAAGCAACAAATTAGTAGTGTGGAATACAGATACAGTCCTCCAGACGTCCAACACACGTACGGTCAACATGCTCAACCATATCACGGTAAGAAAGACACTTTATAAATGGTCTTACCCATAAAGAAAATCCTAAGTTTATTGTAAAGAAGGGAACTTACCAAATAAAACTGTAATCATATTCAATAATGATAAAATTACATAAGTATACCCATCTCAATATCAATCTCAATATACAAATCAAATTTTCTCACTTGATTTTAAACCTTAATGTTACTTAGAAAAAGTTTAAAATTGACTGTAGAAATTTGACGATTTGTAGTCTGTACAAAAAGGGATTACTTATTATCCTTAATTTAATTTTAAATAAAATTGTAAAGTTGCGTCTATAATATATAGTTTCTTAACATAATTCTTTTCATCTGTGGAAATTAATGAATATTGGTAAACCAACTCAATATGCGTTCGCGACCCACTGGTGGTACGACCCTTAGTTTGAGAAATACTGTACTATGTAACTTTTCTATATCACTCTGAACCTTTTCTTTTCCCATACCTATGTTTCGTCGGTTTATCGAAACTGTTCTCTGTCATCATTCGAAATTTTGCTAGGGGACAAAAAGGAACAGGATTAAATATTAATTTTGTTCCATAATCTTATTTCTAATCTTATAATCTTCCTTATTAATATTATATGATCGAATCGATTTATTATAATATGAATTGTATCCGTTTACAGATCGCTTGCCTGCTAGGAGCGGCAATGGCCGCACCCTCTATTCCTCTCGCGGGCTTAGCTGCAGTCGACACTTACGTAAGTTTAAAAATCTAGTTTTCAACGAAATCGATTTATTGTCATCATCAGCCCTTGCCGTACTGTTGTACTGCAGGGGCTCAGACTTTCCTTGTCGATGGTTAAGGATGATATACCATGGAGGGTCCATGCTAACCCAATGTGGTTTGAAGGGTATTTACGACTGCAAATGCAGCTAACGTGCCTTCCAAAGCACGGAGCTCCTAATAATAATTTTTAGTCCACCATCCAGTGCTTAACAACAACAATGTCGGACCCCGGTACTTATCCACTACGTAACCGAGCTAAATGACAGGGGTAGGGGAGGGCGGGGAATCGATAATATTGATTTAATAAAAAACACCCCAGTTGTGAAATTATTATCATGAACTTTTTCTTATTACAAAAACTACATTTGCTCCAGTGAGCAAACGTGAAACATATAGTTTAGTTATCACACATTACTTCCACCCAGTTGCACAAACTTCCATTAAGGTTCAATGACGACTGTAAGTTATAATTAATTTTCTAAATTTGAAAGTTTGTATCGCTAATGTCGCAATAAACCACACACAGAGGGGCGTCACTCGTCAGACACCGGGGAACGCTTAAAGAATTTACCCAATAATAAAATACAATGCGCAAACGAAAATTCATCAGGCTCCTAATTAATTGCAACTTATTGTAATAGATTGTGTACCATTCTTTTATTTCAATTCGTTTCATTGTTTACCAGTCGGTCCCCAACTACGGTTTCAACTATGCGGTCAGTGACCCGCATACCGGCGACAATAAGGCACAATACGAGAAACGCGTCGGCGACCACGTGACAGGCTCCTACTCGCTGGCCGAACCCGACGGCACCCTCAGAGTAGTGGACTACTCCGCCGACCCGCATACAGGATTCAACGCAGTAGTCAAACGAATAGGCGCCGCAGCCCATCCACAAATCATAACTCCAGTAGTTAAAACTCTAGCGCCTATATTAGCGCCGGCGACTAGCTTAGTCGGTATTGGCAATTGGGGAGCAAACGCGTTTACTGGCGGTTTTAACGCAGGCCTCGGTGGCCTCGGAGCGTGGGGCGCCGGCCTCGGTGGTTTCGGAATAGGGGCGCCTGGCCTCGGTGCTTGGGGTGGCCACTAGTCAACATTTTTACCCATTCGTTATTACTACTTCAATTAAAATTTACTCATAACGGATTTATCTATTGCTCTCCCACGAACTTGAAACGTGAAAGTGTAAATAGTGCAATTGGCGCTATCTAGTATTAATACAAATTAAATATTACGTATTTTGAAGTTGTTGTCTTACTATATTTTACATATATCCGCTTTAACAACTATTTTCTAAATTCAGACTTTCGTAAGGAATATCTTTAATTTTACTGTTGTAATAATACTAATTGTAAGTAAAGTTTCGATTAGAGAACAATCGCTACTACTGCAGCTACAACCAGTTATTGCGAAATAGCTAATTCCGTATCTATTCGACTTTGCCCTATTCGATTACTGCGTGTGCTCCAGAAGCGGGGACATAAAAGGACTTTCACATAAAAATATGTTACACTTCTGTTCCTCAATAATATACGTTCACGATAAAATCAATAACAATGGAATTTAGGGTTCCTAGTAAACAAGGAAACCCTTATAGTTTCACCATGTCCGTCTGTCCGTCCGTCTAAGATTTAGCTCAAAAACTATTGGTACTAAAAAGTTGTATTCCCCATAGTATGGGTGGTCGTTGGTAAGCATTCCTACGGCAAATCTTACGGCAGTAATACCTATATATAACACAGTTAAAAGGTAAAGTATCACACATCGGTTGGCTTTAGAAGTTCACGAGTAATAATCGACAAATTGTATTAAAATAGAAAATTTCGAACTCCATTAAAAATAAACTTGATTTTTTATGGATAATGGTACGAAGTGCGCGAGTCCAACTCGCACTAGGCTGCTTTTATTTTAATGGCAATTACTATCATTACCGCAAAAAAACTACAAAATCATTCAAATTAAAAACACTTTCTAAATAACTACATATCATTTATTACATAAACACTGCACACAAATAATAATTAAATGCACGTTATATTTGAGCAGTCTCAACTGACATACCAAATTTCACTTTATTATTTACATAATACGGGCTATATTCGAAGGAATGGTGCGTGTTACGTCACGTTGCGGTTGCGCCCTTCACCGAATAGGAACAGGCACATGCGATCAGCCAAGTATGCGAACACCATGTCAGCTATCAACACTTGCACTAATATCACTCGGTACTGTAACAATAAATTAATTTTTTAATAACAAAAAATAATCATAAAAATAAGACATTTTAAAAATTATACTAGTGATATACACATATGATATACATAGGAATATGTATATTCCTAATGAAAAATGCTGCATCCACCAGACCCTGGCTCTATGAGATGAGCCTCGAATCCATGATCATTTGGCAATCCGGGCGACTACTCTGACCACTGGACCCAACAGGACTAACGAATTTTACATACATACATTTAGATACAGTAAATTATGATAAGCAACTTCAGGCCTGTCTGTAGTCTGAAATAGTGTTTAATATTATAGATAAACAACTAGTTGCACAAATGTCATCTAAAATTGTAATTAATTTAAAGCGACATTTACGCAGTTGCACAAACGTCTATCAAAATTATTGTTAGTTTTAAGCGAAGCACGAAATATTGACCCCTGTAGCGGGGATACGGGCACGTTGGAAAGAAAGTCCAGTTTTTCGGGTGATAGTTATAATATAGATAGTACAAACAAATTTATAATATTTGAAAGAAAGGTGAGCTCATGAGATTGGTTGGATATCCAGACCCGAATCCCAGAGCTGAAGGTAGTCAAAAGGCCAGTGAACCTGTCCGTAATGACTTGCCTACCGAGGAAGGATGGATACCGTTTCGTTGCATTTGGGTGATTAAGTAAATCTACGATGATAACTTCCCTTGCGCGATTCAGTAGGTCACCGCGCCATCTATGAGCCGTAAGAGAAACTAAACTCATGACGTTACACCCCTTATTAAATATATGTATGCGCCCGCATGCATATTATATTATATACATTTTTTTAAATAAAAGTGCTGCTGGTCAAATTTGATTTGTAGTCCTTTTTTATAAGCAGCGAATTGTGCAACTGGGTATAGAATAATGTTACTCATGCCTGTTTTAAACTTACGAATCGCCCAAATCTGACACCTAAATATTTGGGAATTGTCACAGGTGAAAATGCATTTCACCATTGACAAGGAGCCACCTAACGACTTTAAGCAACGTATAAAGTTAGGACATGAATCGTGCGACGCCTAGCGCTGGGTATTTGTGTAATGTGACGTATACATATACTCTTTGGCCAGGATAAGAAGTTTATATATTAGAATTAAGATATAAACAATGATATTTTTTAATTTTCAGATTTTTTATAAATGAACTTGTATATTTTTTCATCATCTCAAAATATATATTTTTGTTTTTGTCTCTTTACGTGTAAAGGCCACTAACGTGGCATTGGCGGAATTGCGTAAACGCAAATATGCCATACATTAAAAAAAGAAGAGGAACTGAAGCATGCAAAATCATAGACAAACATTGCCTTACTAAGCACTGTGATTAGTAAAGCTTTACCTAACATTACAGGTTTGGTAAACGACAAATCTGCTTAAGCTATTCTTAATATTAAGTGATTTCTATTTAAGATATGCCTTATTCTGGGTTATTGAAAACGGGCATTAGACACATGTTGCCAATTTGTGAAACAATGGTCGGTAACAACTGTTACCAAACCCAATACAATAAAAAAAATCGATATCGATATATACTCGAATGGATATTTATGTTACTTACATCTGGTGGGAAGTATACGATCTCGAATGTGTTGGAGAGATCCGGGAACAATCCAGCGGCTAGTGCTAGTACCGCGCCCCCGGACGCTAGCACGCTGTATAGTAGCGGCTTATTGTCTCGCAATCCCTCCATAAACGGCTCGCCCTAATCAAAACAAAATATTATAAATAAACTAGCTGGCCCTACAGACGTTGTCTTAACTATGAAATTTTGCAGCACGCTATTTGTCAATTCTATTAGATTGAAAAAGTTTATATTATCGAAACCACAAAGGTTAATTTTCAATTTTTTTTCCAGCCGTTCACATGTGACGGCGTAACCAAGTTAAACAGGATTCATTTATATAAATATATACACACATTCACAATACATTTAAAATACGTTAATTTTCTTATTTATTCAATCTAGGCTGTTACATGTGATTTGAAATTGCACTGAGAAATACTTTCCATTGCTATATTAAAATAACAAATATAGATAACGATAATTAACACTATCAATAAAACAGATTTAGAGCCTTATCGAAAAAAAACACAAAATTTAAAGAAATTCAAACAAAAACGTTATTCAACTACAGTTGGGTCATTATAAAAACCATATTTAACATCTGTCAATCTCAACTTGATTAAAGTTAGGCGTCCTTCTTAAAATTTTCGATTTATTTAATGATTCGATTATGGTTTTTAAAGAAATGTCCAATGAATGAACTTATTGCGCAAAAATAATATCATTTTTATAATTATTATCAATATCATTACTTCGCGAGATTGATTTATTAAATTATGTATTGTGTCGACATTGTAACAAGAACAACAGAATAAAATCACAGATAATAAATGAATCGCGCGTAAAAAACTGTTTGATGAATAACTCGCAAACTTCATTCAAATCACCAAAACAGATTCACACTGAAACTTTCTTACTATCACACTTGTTCACTTACATATAAATCCAATATACATAATCAAACACAAAGGACATCGCCGAAAATGGCCCTAATACCATTAAATATTAATACTTCAATAATAATTTATTTATTTATTAAATTAGTATTAAATATTTATTTCCAAAATTAATATTTAAAAGTACTTTAGCAGTAACATTTTTATTCGCAAATATTCACATTCAATACACTTTAATTCTATTGAGTCAGATGTATGTTATTTAACGTCAGATCAAGAAGATCATTGATTTTTTTTAGATAACCTTTAAATCATCGAACGCAAAAACATTAAATTAAAAGAAAATAAACTTCAGTATAAACGTCAAATTATTTACTAAAAGCGCTATATCTTGAGTGGTTTTCCAAATAAAACATAAGGACATAAAACTGAATATTATACAAACTAAATTCATTAACTGTTAATGATGATAATTCACTCTTGTTTATTCAGAAAGATTGATATTCATATGACATATCCTAAAAACTACTTTGTTTCTTAATAGTAATAAATAAATGTAATCATTACCTTTATAATTCTCGTAAAGATATTAACATCATGTCATTTACGTATTTAAGGCGCCATCTTTTGATGTAAACCATCAAAAAACTATAGGCTTTTTTAATTTTAAACTTATCAATAGGTACATTATTTAACTATTAGAATGATTTATTTATCTATTGATTTAGAAACTTTTACAAGTCACAACGAAAAACCGACATTCTTAAAGTTGAGTTTTGTTGCTTCGACAATATCAGACATCAATATCATGTCATGTACTTAAGAGTGCCATCTCTTGGTGGCTTTCCAAACAAATTATAACCTCAAATGAATAATATTTTGCGTGATAATAAGTTCTACAACTTGGTCGCGGTATTATAAATACATAATGAGAATTAGTGACACACAATAAAATCAGTATTTTCCTATATTTTTTTTGGCTCTGGGGCCACCAATGTATGGACGTTGAGCAATGTCCTTTACTACTTGATTTTTCACTTTTTAACTTTTTCTGTTTTTTTTCCAAAATCTTCCTTGTAGTAAAATTAGCACAATAGTTACTTAGTCATTTAATGCGGAAATATTCATATTCCCCGTGGGGTGGGTCCTGGTAATCTGTATTTCAGGCTATCGCCCCTTACAGACACCAGTTCCTCACAAAGTCGACAGGCAATCTTCTTTTTTGTAATTGTATTTAGTCAATAAACATGTAACCATGTTCCTGTATTTGTGAGGAAAATAAATTCAATTTTTATTTATTATATTATGACTTTTGTTAACCGCTGCATGATTCCAACGGTCACAAAGTGATTTACGTGTTTATCAATGTTCCCAGTAAAAAATAAATTACAACAAGTTGTTTGTTCATGTTTTCATAGATAATTATTAAATCAACTTCTGGGTACACCAAACAATATCCGATTTTTTGATACGTCCCTTCTGTTTAAAAAGACAACGAGTCCACAGGCATAACATTGTAGCTGCGTTTATTTGTAAAAATTAATAGTAAAATTGTTTTAGTTTTATATTATGACAATTAATATATTTTAATAACAAAAAAAAACCAAGTATACCATGACCCAAATTTGGAAAAAAATAATGTTTACTACATTACAAAGTTACTTTGAAGTTGAGACTGAAAGTTTTCAAATGTGGCCTATTATAATAACCTAACTGTACCACCACATGTGAAGATTGAATAAATCCATGCTAATATTATAAATGCGAAAGTAACTGTCACTGAGTGTCTGTTATGTTTTCAATAAACCAATTTCAATGAAAGAACAATGGTCAAAATGGACTACGAAAAAAAAGTTCTTGTACCAAGATGGAACTATAACCAAAATGTACTATAAATTGAATGTAATTATTATATACCAACAATTTATTTTTAAAAGCTGGGAAAAGAAAGATAATCCTCTCTAAAATATGTCTTTATTTTTTGAACGCAGTTTAAATTATGTTATTTTTGAACGCATCTTATTAATATTGTCATTCCTAGAGAAGTCCTTCTCTTTTCAAAGAACAAGATCGATTTTAATTCTGACTAATCGAATTTGATACAAATCTTATATTATTTACTAACCATATAAATCCGTGAAAATTATATTATATTAAGAGGAAAATAGTTTATTTATAATGAAATTAAAAACAAATGATTATTTATAAGAATCGATATTACAGTATTCAATCGATTGCGACCTCCCTTTTTTAGACAAGTATGTGTAGACGTGTTTCTACGCAGACCGTTTTGTAACTTTGGCGGTGATTTTGTATTATCTTCTGTATTATGGGGAGTATACTAGGTTCCATGGGCAGTATAGAATTGAGGTCTGGAGAGAAATACCGGATTCTCTGGATTTATTAGAATTAGACTTAAATATAAATAAAGTCCTAATTATAAAGGGTAGAATTAAGTCGAGACATTGGGAGGAAACAATATTAAGTGTACATTTTAAAAAATAATGACACATCCGGGTTAGACGGCATAAGAGAACACTGCTGTAATTGTCTTATTGGTCGATGTACACTGGGATGCTGTACTCATATAATGACCATAGTTTGGTATCTTGGATGGGCCAGACACGAACAGAATGTAGTTTCTCCTGCAGCATTCCGTGATGAGGTATTCATTAGAGTTGTAATAAAGAAAAGAAAAATCAACATATTGTTTTGCTATATCCTTTTGAAATTAGAATTTTCACTATTACTTTATATAAGTTATAGTGTAAGATAGAAAAGTAGAGATATCGAGAGCAATCTTAAAAATTCTATAATTTTTTTCTTTTTGATGTTCATTGGTTCATAAAAAATGATTTTTTTTTTCTTACAGTCTATAAATATAATATATCATATAAAAAATAATATAAAGTATGCACTTCTAGGACTACGATTAGGCATTATCTGACGTGTGCTTTACATATTTCAACTGTAATACCTCTAACTCAAAATGCTACTACAGTTTAAATAATACGACATAACCTTAAAAACATATTACACAATTACTCGATACTCCCAGCTTTTAAAAATATGTTTAATGTCATTCTTTGTTCTAGTTGCATAGGCAAACAAAATAACATATGTTTCATCAAGTTACGTTTTATTCGATTTTACTAGTCCAAGCATGTTAGGCAGATGGCCATTGTTCTTTGCTACATAGATTGAGTGAATAAACTATCTATGTCCTTGGAAAAGATCAGGAAAAGAAGGCTTAAATTGGTTGAAATAATAGGGATGATGCCTGGATTAAAAAACGAAATTCTATTAAGTTCATCATTCAGATAATAGAAAAACATTTTTTTATTTCATTTTAACAAGAAATAGTTTAGATTCATGCATTAAAGCTGAGCAGTGGGGGCTCGGTACGTCACAGTTTGGTAGAGAATGTACAAAATCGTGACGTCATGTGACTTTTAAATTAATGCGATACAATGGGTAATTAAATGTAATTTAGAGACGCAAAAATACGTGAGTATTTTCTGTATGACGGACAAACAAAAAAAAATTGTCATCATCCTTATTCCACGCAGGCCAGGGACAGTAAGCTAGTATACATAATTCTTACCCTGTAATTGATAGCAAACGTGGATATTTGCAATGCCATTGAAATGATGTAGACAGTACTGTTCAGTAAATCCGGCGCAAACTCATGCTCTTCGTCTTCGGCCAAATCCATATCTAATTTTGGTTTAGTATCTCTGAAAACATAAAACAACTCATGAAAATTATACAACTTAATATGCTCATACATTATTTTTAATTTAGCTATGGCAAATGATAATTCTTAAATTCTGGGTTGCAGCCCATATCCATTCCATTATTACACAATGTAATAAACTTATGGATCTGTCATAATTAAACAATTATTAATAAGTCAAAATGATGGCCTGACTGATCTGTCAGCTGACAAATTCTAAAGGCTTAGTTTTGACATATCAATCAGGACTTCAGTTACGCACTAAGATCCATTGAGGATTATTTGATGTTGTGTAATATTTTTTTAACATATTTATAAAAGCGCATAGAAATAAGCAAAATTTTTAAACAAACTATCATTAATTTTGCTGACCTGCCAGGAGACCTTGCAGTGGCTTCGTGCACTAGATATATTAGACACAGGAAGTGCACAGCGAACTGTGTTAGCACTGTCATGATCGTGTACACGTTGAAGATGTTCGGTAGGGGGCGCTCCTTTGACAATTGTTTCAGTGGCTAGAAAATCAAAACATTTCAATGTGATCCAACACATCCATTCAGTCATAAACTTATGAGAAAAGTTTCCGTCCAATTCCTTCGTGAGAAGCAATGGAAGTATGCGTTGGAACGCTCGACAGACAACATCGCTCTGCTTCGCTTGAAGGTCAAAACTAACAAAAACACGATATAACATTCAAATATGACTTGTTAGACATATTTAATTTATATTGTTATTTGATTTGAAACCTTTTCTAAAAGTAAGAAATAAACTTTGAAGTAACTCAAACTCAACTATATAAGGTACACATATAAAATCTGGTTGCTTTTATTTTAAAAATGTCTCATTACATAAATAAGACTTCTTTTTATTACATAAATTATTATTTTATAATAGAGGATTTTAATAAACTCTTTTAGCAACTTGTTTTTCGCTTATCACGCAAAATTATCAATTAGGCGCAAAATAATAGGGATGCTGACTGGGTAAAAAAAATGCAAATGCTATTCCATCAGTCAGATAATAGAAAAATACTAAATACGTATTTTTTTTACTTCAATTTAACAAGAAATAGCTTAGATAACAGGCATTAAAGTTGAGGAGTGGGGGCTCGCTACGTCACAGTAGAGTAGTAAACGTACCATAACGTGATGTCATGCGAAATTTCAGTTCCATGTATCGCCGTTATTTTATGATTACGAAAAAAATAAAAAAATACGTGTTTAATATTTTTTTACACTCTACCTGATGGACAAACAAACAAAAATTAGTCGTCATACTTATTGAAAATGAATAATCCTTACCTTTGATCTAGAGATGAAAAGGAAACAGGAAGCTAACAGCAAACTTTGCAGTGTAGCCTGTGTATCGCTGAACTTAATCCCATCGAGGTACAACACAGACTGACTGTAGGCCAGGATTAGAGCATTCAGAGCCAATATCTTGAACATTTGCAACGTCGTAACTAAAGTACAGCGACCTTGTTTGATTATATGACAAACTGTTGGAAAACATGGTAAATCAATATTAACCTCTCATGTGAACTTGTATTCCAGAGTGAATTACCCACTTAGTTTTTATTTAGATTAAATTAAGTAGATAACACCGTGAACAATTTGACTATACATAATTTACTATAGAAGATTGAGAAAATATGGTGTGATTTGGTCCCAGAGGCAATTCTTCAAAGAGACCTCATTAGTGAGTAAAACTTACTGCAAAGAATACTGGAGAGACGGCTGGTGAATGGTGCGGCAACACTAGCATCACCCAACCGCACCAATTGTGGCTGATCTTCTTCCTCGAGTTTCTTCATGGCGCGTCGTAATCTAGCGGCAGCTTCGGCTCGTGCTTCAGCGCGGGCATCGATACGACTGCCGGGCGGACGCCGCGTCACTTCGCGCGTCTCCACTGATTCTACTGACCGTTCCTCTTTTGGCTTCTCACGAGGACGCTCGGGAGCGTTCGCTAGGATAGCTACCCCCACCTGCAAGACGAATGAACTTATATATTTTTTCCAAAACACCCACTAAAATTCTAATTATTAAACAGTTATTCTTTCAGTTATTGTATATGGTGTTGAAACATGCCACAAGTATTGGATGGCAATGCAGAGTATATCTTGATTGTAACATAACAACTGTGCTACAATTTTCATGTCAACTTTACAATACCACAATAGCCTTGAGTGAGAATAAATAAATTTATTTCTATTTTGATATTAAATAATAGTGAGTTATTGTTTGATAAGGCATGTAATCAACTTAACATACAATATAAAATAATTAACGTGTTACAAGGTTTAGCATGCTACTAAATTTGACGAGTCTTCACGCACCCTTAAGCTTCTTTGAATTAACGCGTTAATAAATTAGCGCCTTCATTAAAAAATATCATTAGTCTATAGCGCGTTAATGATTTTTAGTTGTTTCAACACCTCTGCTACAGACATATTATTTTCTTTTAATTTAGCAAAATTAACAAAATAAGTAAACTTACATCAGCATGTTTCAAAGCGCCGACATCATTTGTACCATCCCCGCACATAAGCGTAACATGACCCAAAGCCTTCAACGTTATTATAACAAACTCCTTTTGCTTTGGAGCAAATCTGGCGAACACTTTGATGTGAGGCATTAATTCAATTAAAAACTTTTTATGGTGTTCATTAAGAAATGTTAAACCTTCACCAGTAATACATAAATCAAATTTCGAAGTCAACTGTTTTGATGTTTTGAAAGGTTGAATGGGTAATTTCACTTCTTCATCAATTGAATTCCAACTCCATTCATTATCATCTCGAGTTAGAATAAGCACTTCACTCTTCTGTGTAAATTTTAATTCTTTAGCCACATGGCATGCAGTCAAAGGATTATCACCAGTAATCATAACAACGGAATGTGATGCATGTACTATTTCAGCTATTGCTTTCTTAGAATCACTCTTCAATGGACATGATATAATGACAAATCCTACAAATGTTAAATCAGACTCAATGTCTTCTCTTGATAAATCTCTAATTTCTTGTGAACTTAACTTTCCTAAATTTCTATAGCCCAGTGCTAAAACCCTGGCACCCCTTCTGGATAATGTTAAATAAACATGATCATAATGACTAGGAACTTCTTTAAGCATAGTTTTGACTGTTTCAGGTGCTCCTTTAACACTACTTATATAATGAGTCTCCATAAATCCTCTCTCATTAACTTGATAACCAGCTATTATAGACATTCTCTTAAGAGCACTTGAAAAATGATTTCTATGAACTATTTTTAAGCCAGGGGATTTCCCTTTCTTTGGAACTACTGCATCACCTTTTGTAAGGTTCCACTCTGCTGCTTTTAATGTAGCCTTTTCCAAAGGATCACCAACTATACCATCATCCAACTGCACTAGGGAGTGACATGTGGCTAAAACTTGGATAGTTTCAATAGGAGCCTCTGATAAAGGTATTACCGTTGCATCTTTATGATCCCCAATGCCAGCCACTCCTTCTACTACTAAGTTATCACTTGTAAGTGTGCCAGTTTTATCAAAACAACATATTTCTACTTTACCAGCAAATGGTATTCTAAAGGGTTCTGTGCAAAACACAGCTAACTTTGATAATGACAAGAGGGATGTGTTAACTGCTAATGATAGTTCTATGGGCAATTCAGGTGGAACAACAGAAGTCAAAATTAGGGTACATTCCAAAAATAGTTTATATCTGTTTCTCTCTGGGTCCTCACAGCCCTTTACCCAAACATAAGCAGCTGCTGCTATTGCAAATATCAACAAGAACATTATAAATCCAAATGTCTCAAGATTATTAGCAGTAACCCTTTTCACACCAAACAAAATTGTTCTTAATAATTTCCCTTGTGATGTGTTGAATCCATTTCGGATTACATAACCAATACAACCATTATCAGGAGCCTTTAGAGCTGAAGATACACTTTTACTTGGTGATGAATGTTGAACAATTTTTGTGCCTCCAAACAGCATATGTAGTTTACCGTCACCTTCAGGATCAAGATTCTGTTTTAGATTTTTTTCATTCTCCACAGGTTCCTTCATTTGTGGCACACTTTCACCAGTCAACATAGACTCATCAACTATACATGAACCTCTTAAAAGGACTAAATCACATGGTACTAGATTTTCATTTAAAGATCTTGTGAGGGATACAATATCTCCAGGAACTAATTGGTCACTCATTATCTGACGCCACCGTCGATTTCTATAAACATTGATATTATACGGTTTATTCCCCATTTTCCTTATTTCAGCCATATTTCTTAACTGCTGCTGAACAAGAGTGCATTCAAACATAACAAGCATCACAAGTGTAAAGATAGAGTAATACCAGTACTTATCAAGGCACCATAACGCAACACAAAACACTTGAAATACAAAAAATGGGGCAGTAGCTCTTTCCTTAAACAGCTCCATAAATTCTGGTACAACCTATAACCATATAAATTTATATAATTTGATTATTACTACACTTAATCAAGCAAAAAATTATTTTAGTTGCCATTGGCCGTAACAGTAAATATGTTACAAAGAGTACCTGTTAAATTATTGTAATAAAAAAATATGTAATTCCTTAACCAAAACAGGTATAGATAAACCTACTACCTTATAAAACAAGTTTTTATAAGAGTTGAATTTAAAAATTTAAAGATTATGATGCATTACTATATAGTTTATATCAAAGGTTAAATTAGATTGTTAAGACAGAGTACTCCAAAAATCAGTCAATTTAGCCTGGGAACATCTCCTATCCATTTAATACATATGATAAAACTATCAAATATATTATTACAAAAAAGCAATTATTACCATTATCATTTCATTTTTGCCATATTCCTTTTCTGCAGTATCAATAGCTTCATCATCTGAGAAACCTTTAGACTCCATATACTCTTCATACGTATTATTAACTGGGAAATTCACAGTAGAAAACACCTTTTTATCCCAATCATAAACATATTTGCTTTTTTGAAATATAAACCAAACATCAGGATATGTGCTGCCTTTTCTTGCAGACTAAAAATCAAAACTAAATTTATTAAATCAAATCAAAATTTATTAAATTGGATAAAAGTAAAATAAAATTTGAAAACCTTGGTGTGATGAAGTTTAACTATTTCTGAAAATCCATTATTTGACGTCGGAACTACTTTCACAATTTCCGCCTGAATTGGATCTTTTGCCTGAAATTGAAAAGGTGCCAGTGATCAGACACAAACTATAATTTTAAATATTATTCCTTAAAATCCGAAATTCTTATTTTTGTCAATCAAATAAGATCTTACCGCAGAGCAAGAAAGGAAACATTGAATGTGTACACTCCAATAACAGCACAAACATATGAGAATTTGAATCGTGGCTAGAACAGCAACAGTCACGAAACCTGCTTCGAAATTCTCCTCGAATCCATACACCACGATCCAAGAATAAAACACTATGGGATAAATAATCAAAAAAGGCAACACAGTCCCTTGTAAAACAGTAGGCACCGGTTTAAAAAGTTGTGTATATTGAACTAAATCGTCCAATGACGACTGCATTTTGTTTGATACCATTTTACTATCTAACACATTAAGCTATTTGTTGATTAACACATAAATACAAGCCCTACTTATTCTCAACGATATTTGAAAGTTTAAATAGATCTTTAATTGATATATAATTAAATAATACAGAAAAATATGCTCCGAGTCCAGCAAGTTTACTGAGCTTGACAGTACTTGATAAAAAGAAGTTTCACATGACAGAAGTCAGTCACGTCAAGTTACACTGTACCATAAACTAATAATATAAATACAGCCTAGGCTAGAATCAAGCATCTGCTTTATCCTAACCTAGGACTAGATAGTCGTTTGTCTTATGTTTTACAACTGTTACGTAATACATTTTATTGTATTTGAATTTTGAATAGCTATCTAAGTAGGTAATCTAGAATTGCGATACCTTTGTGAGCAGTATCGTTGCTCAAAATTGCTCAAAATTTGTGTCGGTAGTGTCTCTTCAAAGTTTAAACAAATTATAAATGTAATTGTCGTTTGTGCAGTTGGATATGTGAACTATGAACAGTGCAAAGGTAGATTTTATTCTCCCTGGCTCCCTACAACGAGTATCAGCTGTGCGGTTGGAGTTCGATGATCACTTTTGATGAAATGAATAGAAAAAAACGAACTTCAGTTATGTTTTAGAACTGTAATTTATGTATAAATTAATAATTTTATTGATGATTTTTTTAAATCGATAAGAAGGTAATCAGGAATTACAATGCCTTTAATAGAGACACATGCAGACATGCTTTTTTGGAACGTCGCGTTGCGACTTTTAATATCATTTCAAACATGTTTCCACACTTAAATGTTATTATATTCTCACATACCATTCTCCTCATATCACTACATGAACTCAATGTAAAAGCCAAGATATTTTTTATTATAAAAATAAGTACAAACGCTATTAACATAACATTTCGGTAAAGTGGTGACCCTTGTATTGGGTCACCACTTTACCGAAATGTTATGTATTTTATTTATTAGTATATAGGTTGATATTTAACTTTATGATAAGTTTACTATCTGACTCTATTTATACGAAGGATCGGTAAAATAAATAAACGTGTTCACAGTTATGAGTTTACTTTCAGACTATTTGATGTTGAAGTGCCACTTACAAAATACAAAATATCATAAATTACGTTGCCACAGAATGGTCGACAAAGATTATAAAACAGATGTGCCACAACACACTCACTACGCTGAAAAGCCTGCTTAAAAAAATAGAGCAACAACATCATATCCGATTTTTGCTTTTATGAATTTAAATGTTTTAAAAGTTTTACTCTAAAATAACAGTGAAACTTTCACGATACTTTATAAACAGTAACTAAATTTATGCTTATTATTACAAATTATTTAAAACTCTAATCTTTTTTATACCCTACATAAAAAAAGTACATAACGTATCCCATACATTTCTGTTAAGAAAGCGCCTCCAAAAAATAAATGTTTCTTTTTTGTATTGCATTTGATTCGGATATTGTACTTTATTTGGTACAAATACTTAATAATTTTTTAAATCACTAAGTAACCAGGAATTGCCATGCCTTTAAAAGTAGTCTCATTGCTCGATAACAATAATTAAAATGACCTAAGACTTCATGTTTTAGGTTTTAAAGATTTACTTTAAAACAATGATTTTCATGTTATTTTATCAACAGTGATTTATTGCCTTACTTACTTTTTCTCATTATTAAAAATCTTATCAATCTTATCATCATTAGCAAAGTTTTCGACTGTCACAAGTACTATGAGCCTAGACTGAATTGATTTTGATATTTATATTAATATCATTTGTTTCGTGGATGCATAATGACACATTCAAATATAAAATGAATTCTACGCTCCGCTTTTTGTTCGGTATTCCAAACCTGAATTCGGATGAAAGTTACTAGCAACCAATAAGTTGGCTCATCACTAATGTTGACGTTTAAACCAATCATCGTTCCTTAAAACATAACATAATGAAGTTGTTTATGCACTAAAGGATTAAGCTGATGGCTTTGGTAGCCAATGCTCTTAATAATAAAAAAAAAATGAAGTTGTTTATTATGGGTATGTTCCGATATACACTGCGAGCACTGCGCAGTGGTCTAACTGCTGAAAAATCCGTTCCGTTATGGACTGCCAGTACACTGCTACAGTACCCTAGGGAAATTTATGACGTCATAAATTGCCGCCATATTTGTACTGTGAGCACTGGATATTTCGAGGTAAGGTGCTCGCAGTGCTTTTGATCACGTGATCAGTCGATACAGAATCAGAAAATGATAAGTTTCTAAATAAACAAAAAAAAATACTTACGTTTATTATAAGATGAATTTAATTGATAAATAATTTTTTTATACACAATTTTATAATATTTTCTTTTGAAAAGAGGGAATCTATATTTATATTCACCTTGCATTAACAAATTTGAAAATGGCGCCAAAAAATAGGATTAACAGTGTACTGGACTGCGTTCCGTTATAAAAAGTCTACTAACTATAAAGGAACGGGCTTCCAGTATACTAAATTGACCTCATACTGTTCAGTGGTCGCAGTGTATATCGGAACATACCCTATGTTACGTGTAAAGGAACGATGATTGGTTTAATTTTAATTTATTTTAACTTACGATTAAAATTAATTTGAAAGTAAAACATTATAAGAAACACAAACCGATGTCTTATTTTTAATTTTCGATACTCCGTTTACTTTTATTACGTCAGAAACAAAATTTGGATGAATATCATTAACAAAATCCAAACAACGCGAGTGACATCTAGTATGATTTTAAGAACTAATTTTTATTTTTTAAATACTTCCTCATTGCGTTAGAACTTGTGGGGGGGGGGGAGGTGGCGGTGCGCGCGGAGTATCGGAGGGTTGGGTATTTCAGTATTATGTTAATGTATGCATACTTTATTAGTAATTAGTTGGTATTTATGTTATTATTTATAACAAGAAAGAAAAGTAACATACTACAAAAAGCCGGCCAAGTGCGAGTCGTACTCGCGCACGAATGGTTCCGTACAAGAAACGAGCAAAAAGAAGCAAAAAATCACGGTCCAAATACAAAATTCAAATTCAATTCCGGATGGATGGATGGACGGATGGACGGATGGACGGATGGACGGATGGACGGATGGACGGATGGACGGATGGACGGATGGACGGATGGACGGATGGACGGATGGACGGATGGACGGATGGACGGATGGACGGATGGACGGATGGACGGATGGACGGATGGACGGATGGACGGATGGACGGATGGACGGATGGACGGATGGACGGATGGACGGATGGACGGATGGACGGATGGACGGATGGACGGATGGACGGATGGACGGACAGCGTACACTTTGGGCACGGAACCCTAAAAATATGTAATAGGTTAGCGATGGTACATTTCAAGGTTTGTATTGTATGATATTTCAACATTATTCGTCGCTCGATAGTGTAGATAAGTATCAACTACATTGCGATTTTAGGAACCTTAAGATTGAAGGTGTGGTCCCTACTGTAGTGACGGAGACAACTGGTCAGGGAGACTAAAGGATAATTGTCTCCCTCCGAGCTTGGTGTTGTTAGCCCGGGGACCGCGGTCCTACCGATGTAGGTTGGACGTTCTATTTATGTTAATTGGTAATTAAACTTATTCTGTGTGATGTAGGTTTCTTTGTTCTAAATGTCTTGTAGTTATTAATTTATGCTGCTTGTATTGGTACAGCGCCATCTCGTTACTTGCTGTTGAAACTTATTGCAGTTCGTCTTGCTATCGATGGCTGTGACGATGCTAGTCTTCTCGCTATCGATTGTTGTGGCGATGTTACTGCGATGAATTAGATGTCGCTATGTATCAGTCGCCACAGTACTTTCCCCCTAGACCGAAGGTCGATCCATGTTGATAGTAGGTGGTATGCAGTTAGTGCTTCAGAGGTTGCAAGTGCCAGGTTGTGACGTCGGGACCGAAGCTGCTGGTGTGCAGGGCTGCCACGTCGGTGAGTTGTGTGTGAACTGAGGTCCGGTCGTGGGCTGCGAGGACCAGGTCGGGATGATGCCGTCGAGTGGTGCCAAGTATCCAGGAAGCGTCGTCGATGCTGCTGTGATGGACCTTGGTGTTGGCTGGCTTGCTGCTGAAGTGACTGTGCTGGTGAGGGATGAGAAGCTGATGATGAAGGGTGAGAGGCTGTTGATGAAGAGTGATGGCTGCGATGTGATGCTGAAGGTTGCTGATGTTCTGCTGGGGTCACCACTTTAGGAACCGTATGGTTGAAGGTTGGGTCCCTATTGTGGTGATGGAGACAACTGGCCAGGGAGACTAAAGGATAATTGTCTCCCTCCGAGCTAGGTGTTGTTAGCCCGGGGACCGTGGGGTTCCTACTGTGGTGATGGAGACAACTGGCCAGGGAGACTAAAGGATAGTTGTCTCCCTCCGAGCTAGGTGTTATTTAGCCCGGGGACCGCGGTCCGACCGATGTAGGTTGGACGTTCTATTTATGTTAATTGGTAATTAAACTTATTCTGTGTGATGTAGGTTTCTTTGTTCTAAATGTCTTGTAGTTATTAATTTATGCTGCTTGTATTGGTACAGCGCCATCTCGTTACTTGCTGTTGAAACTTATTGCAGTTCGTCTTGCTATCGATGGCTGTGACGATGCTAGTCTTCTCGCTATCGATTGTTGTGGCGATGTTACTGCGATGAATTAGATGTCGCTATGTATCAGTCGCCACACGATGATCGAATGGATGTGCCCTCAAATCGATGGATTGACTACTAAACAGACAACTAAATAACCTATTAACGCCATCACATAATAACTGCAGTCGAGCGCAGCGCACGCCCGCCCCACTGCACCGCATAAGTAGTATGCACGGGTAACCACTGCGTGTCATTGCCGCTGCGCCGCAAAGTTTAGTTGATAACAACAATCGAATAGCATTGATTGTAATCGACTTTTATTGACTAAGCTGAATGATGTGATCGGAGTTCAAAAGGCATGCTTCTGGTAAGAACGGGAAAATGTCCTATTCCACTTTAAATATATAACGATTAGGTTGGGAATAACATTTTATTTTGAAATTAAATGCAAATTGTAATAATAAAAATTACTTATTACGTACATAATTGTGAAGATGCCGTTTGATGTTAAAACATGGACAGCAGCCCCCTAATTGTCTAATTTTAAATCTATTGCAATCGCTTTCAGTTTGAAAGGTGTTGCACAACCGTTGCTGCATAATACAAATACTTTTTTTTCAACTGTCTTCAGAAACAAGCAATGGTTGTGCAACATCTTTCAAACCGAAAGATTTTAAAGTTAGACAATTAGGTCCCAGATATTTTTTCATTTACTCTTTGGAATTCGATATGTAGGTATTAGTTTCCGCTACTTCTTCTTCTTCTTAACTTTAATGGCACTTTGCGTCACAACATTACTGCCAACTTCACGTAGGAGACCATTACACGATTTAAATACATTCATTCAACAAAACAATTTTGGTTTACCAATTCTATCTTTCTACATAGATTTACCAAAAACAACTTAATATGATAATACGATTTTAATACGTTAATTAAGAAATAATTTTATATAAATAATGATTTAAACATAATCATATTGAGTCTAACCACAGACCACTATTAAATTAATTAATTGTGTTAAAAAAAAGTGAGCGAAAGATAACACCACTGATGTTAAAGTTTTAATTGATTAATACTGAAAAATTTAGTAAGAGATTTAACTACAGAAGCATCACTAATTGACTGAAAAACAAACTTGCACTAAGTCGTGCATACCTAGTCGCGTTGTGTTACTCACTCTTTTTTAATGAGAATGAGTGAGGACCTCATTTTACCTCGTGAGGGGCTCGCGAGTCACCGCTTATTTGAGGTGAGGATAGGTAATGTTACAGTAGCAGCGAATGAGTACGTAGCGAGGCGCGCGCAACGTTGCCGTTTGGTACAAAATGAGGGAGGGAGTCGGTAATGCTAAACAAAACATATTTTGTCTTTAGATTCTAAGAAATAAACTTTACTAGACTATAATTTATCAGAATGACCACAACATGCAACTTATTTTTAATAGTGTCAAATGTCCCATTTTTAAAATCGATCAATCATTTATATTTCGAATCATATAAATACATTTCTAAATAAAACAGATACATTTTTATTAACTTTGATATTTACTTAGTCTAATTCATATCAATTATCTATAAAATATTAAAGACGTATTTGCGAAGAAACACAAACAAACCTGAATCGTTCCAAAAAACTCATAAAACTTAACCCATTCCGTCAATCTTGAATATCGAGTCGCCTTTTCATTCGAAACAACTCGCTATTTAGTTACTCACTCAAAAAGTCCACAAGTGAGGAAAACACTCCAAAAGTGAGGAACTTAATGAGGAGTTTCAAAATTGAAAAACGAGTACTCCCTCATTTTGTCGAAATGAGGAACTCAAACGAGGCACCTCGCGAGTGAGGGACTATTATTATACACTGTAGTCTTTGGAGGGACTCATCACTAATACCTAGTGTCAATGTCTAAATTCGCGCCTAATTTCGTGTTTGGCCTTCTCGATAATTGAAATTGAATAAAAATATGGATTTAAATATAAAAAGAAAATCTACGAAGACTGTAATTACTGGAAGTCTCCTAGAAACATACCCCCATGATCTGCAAATGTATAAAATACCACCTACTGAAGAAATACCTTTGCAAGAATTTGAAACTTTAGCTTTGGAAAGACTTACATTATTGAGAAGTTTAGCAACAGCTACCACTCTCAAAGGCTTTCGTCCTTTCTCTGATGAGTGGAAAGAATATATTCAAAGTGATTTACGAAACCAAGGTCTGAAGTATTATGCAAAACTATGTGAATATACTAAGTGTGGGACAGATGCCGATTTACATGCAAGAAGAAAAGATCACATTGCTCATTTTATTCTCAGATTAGCATATTGTAGAAATGAAGAACTTCGACGTTGGTTTGTAGCCCGAGAACTAGAGCTCTTCAAAATGAGATTCATGACCATGAACAGTGAAGCAGTTGATACATTTTTTAGACTAAACAACTTGTCTTACACTAATATAAGTGAAGAAGAAAAACTTGAAATTATTAGCTGTTTGAGAGAGTCCACTCCATACCAAAATATAGACAATATGAAATTTTACAAAGTTAAGTTTTATGAAGTTCTGGATTTAGTCAGGTCTAGAAAAGTTTTCTTAAACGGTGGTTATGCATTCATACCTCACAGAGACTTTGTGTCAGTACTTTCTGCTCAATTTCGAACACATTTGAGACAAAGTTTGGCTGTTGCTTGTCATCATTTGGGAGAAATAGAGCAGGATGAAAGACTTGTATGTCTGTTGAAAGGTTTGCACCAGTCTTATACTGGAGCAGATTATGCAGACACCAAAGCAGTGGTACCTATTGAGAGTCTTGATTCTCTTTCTGCTAAGTCATACCCACTTTGCATGAGACAACTTCATGAGCAATTGAGGTTGAGTCATCATCTTAGACATGGGGGAAGACTTCAGTATGGTTTATTTTTAAAAGGTATTGGTGTTACCTTGGAAGATTCTCTAAGATTTTGGAGAGAGGAGTTTACAAAAATAATGGATTTAGATAAGTTTGAAAAGCAATATTCTTATAATGTTAGATACAATTATGGAAAAGAAGGCAGTAAGCGTAATTACTCTCCCTTCAGTTGCTTGAGAATTATAAATGAAACTGTAGGACCTGGTGACTGTCATGGATGTCCATACAGACATTGTGATGTTAGCAATTTGAAAAACAAATTACAGGGTTATGGCGTTGATCCTCAAGGTACAAAATTATGATTAATATATACAGTTTTTATTAAATTATTACTAATCCAATTAGTAATTATTGAATTAATTTTTATTTTCATTCTAAAACTTGCAGTCTTAAGACATTATATTATAACTTAATTATTTGTTTCAGCAATTAGTGAAATAGTAGACACATCCAAGAAAGGACATTTCCAAGTCGCTTGCAGTAAATATTTTGATACCATTCATAATGTTGATTTGGGCTTAGGAATAAATCACCCAAATCAGTTCTTTGAAGAAAGTCAAAAACTTTTGAAAGGTGAAATTAAAGTGGAAATAAAGAAAGAAAACAAAATTAATCTTAAGAAAGAAGCACTAGATGACCTGGACTTTGATGATGATTTATGAACAACAAACTTTAAAATTTAACTTGATCATTGAAAGAAAGAGGTATTATCTGTAGTAAATAAAATATCATCAAATACTTATATTACATTTATTTATTGTTCTATTTCCTCTTAACATACATAGCTCTCTTAGTTATGCGACCACAGTATAAACCAAATATAAATATTAAACCTACAAAAGATATGCATACAACTAAAAAATACTTTTTTGAAGGGGAAGCTGATAACTCATTGAAAACATCATTAAAATTCTCCATCACATCAACCTAAAACAAAACATCATCATATTAGTTTGTAAAAAATAATTTATCATAAAGTAACAGTTGGAAGGCTAATTTGGTAATAATTTTTAAAACAAGTCATCGCCAGTTTTAAGACAAATGTCTGATTAGTTTGACTGTCAAGAGAGACTTGTTCCAATTTGATAATTTAATTCTGGTCATGGAAAATATAAAAATATCGCGCTTTTTAATAAACCTCTGTACTTATGACCTAGTGACGATCAGTGTGCTGTAAAAAAAAATTACTTATAAGATTTTCAATCACAGTAATAGATTTACTGTGTATAACAGTGGATAGCGGGTTTGGTCTACGATACGGTTGTTACACAACTTGCGAGAGCCGGTCCTAGGATGGATGACCAAAAATCTATTATATTGATATCCATGCTTCAGAAAGGATGTTAAGTCATTGGTCCCAGCTGCAGTCTGCAGTCATTAATACCCACTAGTCTAGTAATGGGTCTCGATACATTTTCCTTATTCAATTCTCTTCATGGGGAAGCCCTATGCCCCAGCAGTGGCAATATTATTAGGCTGATGATGATTTTGTCTAAATATCAAAAATTGCCATGGATTGGAAAGAATGAATGGGGATATCCTCAAATTTTACATAATAGGCCCTTATGCCAGATACTGGCTGTTGCTGATTACAATGAAAAGTTTGTTATCACCACACATCACTCTCTTGAATTACTGGCTTGATTCTTGTATTATTAGAGACTGCATGCTTAAGTGCTGCGTGTAATTTTATGCGAGACAAATAATATATATGTAATTTCTTTTTGTTATTTTAATTACGTATTACTTAAATCTGTTATTATAAACATACTTACAGAAGCAACATATCGGTACATTTCTAATCGGCTTGAGAGTTCTTTTTGACATTCTGCTTCTAATTTTCTATTACTATCATTGAGAATGATTTTCAAACATTTTAATCCTGAAAGTAAGTCTGACGTTCAGTTGATTGTACATACGTCACAGACAACTGGTTTAATTCATAATGCAAATTTAAGATTATATGGTTTTCTCATAGAATCCATAATATGGGACCATACGGCAAGCACTAGCTTTCAAATAAAAAAACATTCATCAAAATTGGTCCACCCAGTAAAAAGTTACGAGGTGACAAGAAAAAAACAGTCGAATTGAAAACCTACTTTTTGAAATCGGTTAAAAATAGTCTTACTTAATTGAATGGCGTCAATCGCCATAATCGTCGATAAAATTGGCCGTAATTTTTAGTATATTTTGACGCGAAAACGCCAACATAATCTTTAAAAATAATTATACGTTAAATTTTAGGTACAAAAATCTTACGTCTGCTAGCACCATGCTCAAGATCTTTACAATACTTTAATAAATCTAAAGCACACGCTCTTTCGAGTAAGGGATCAGCTTCAATATCTACTTGTGTTTCTTCAATTATTTGAACCACTTCACGTGCACACTCGGCTGATACAATTTTATGATTCAATAATGCATTCTTCAAGCACTCTTCAACCTAAAAATTCAGATACAAGAAAATAACAGTGGTTTCCTTAGGTTCACAAAAAATAACCTAAATTGTTCTTTAAAAAATTTGAAATGTTAATAAAAAAAAAAGAAGCATGAGTGTTTTTTCTATACATTTTTTACAAGTATCTGCTAATTAAGAATTACTAGTAAATGATGACACTATCTATAATAATTGTACTTTGAAAATAAAGGGTTCCTTCATCCCATGATAATTTATAGTCCAACTCACCTGACCGTTTGAATTAGTAATGGAATCGTTTGGCACACATATAGTCTGAATCTCAGCTTTACACAATTTACCAAGTAATGGGTCGAGTCGGTAGTTTAGAGCTTGTTCTTTTAAAATATTGGCCAACTCATTTTCACAAGGGGCTGTGAGTTTCGAAATTCTAAATTGCTCTTTCAAACAGTATAATACTTTTCCTTGGAGTTCAACATCTTGTGGTTCATTAGCTGCAAAAAAAGGTCCTATCATAATTCAGTCGATCTTTATCATAATTCGTTCGAGTTTGCAAGAAATTATAAGCAGCAAGTGGGTATAATAAGAAATATTATTTATATTCATATTATATTTCCATGACCCAGTGGATTAAAGGGCGGTTTCATTATTGAAAATTAAGTTTATTGCTTATTATAGGTACTGCTACTTCTTCTACTATATTGCTTCTACGAGATCTATTTTGACAAAGAATCTCAGATGATTTTATCTTATATTTTAGTTACATAATCAAAAGCTTTAACTCTCAGATTTGAGAAAGCATAAAAAATTGCAAATTACTTAGCTACAGGTCACAGTTATTATCAAATGCATAACTTGGTTACTTACCAATAATTTTAGAACAGTGTGTTTTCACGTCTTCCTTACAAGCATTTTGTAAGTTATTATTAAATCTATAATCAGTATTTTGTTCGATCATTCTGTGAACTATTACCACTTTGCAGTTTTCATCAAAATCTTGGTTTTGATGATGTGCCTAGAGATAAAAAAAATACTATTCTTGAGCGACAGCATTAAGATTATTATCAGCAAGTTTTCACTTTTACTATAAAACACTTTTGTATTAGTCACTGCTACTGAAGCCCAGTAGTAGTGACTAATACAAAAGTGGCAATATTTTCCCTTCACAAGGAATACTATTTTCTCTCCAAGAGAAATTAATGTTGATTATCGAGTTTTCATTAGTTAGCCTGTTAAGAGTTTAGGTGTTCCAATTTAATGTTTTATAATGAAAAGTAATTAATTTATGCTTCTATTGTATTCAGTCAAAAACCATTTCAATCCACCTTAAAGCATTGTATTATGGTGATTAAAACAACAATCTAAGCCCATAAAAACTGTTTCAATATTGGTTAAATGAGGAATCTAAGATTAATACTAAAAAAAAAAAGAGAATATTATCATCCACTTACTTTCAAACAGTCCAAAATTTTAGATGTTTCAGTATGGTGACAATAGAGATCTATCATATCATTACAACTTGTAATTAAGTGATAATCAATAGCATTATCATTAAATTCTTGTTTCCTGACAATAAATATAGCCCTTCTACAATTATCAGTTAATTTCCCTTCAGCAGTTTGTAAACACTCTAATGCAGCTGATTCTCCATGGGGCACATTGGAGCAGTACATTTGAAGGTCTTCTTTACAAGCTTCCTTGAGTTCTGGATCTAAATCTATATTTTCCTTTTGTTGGAATAATTGACTTCTTAATTGCTGCCTACAATCTTTAAATATTGTGTGTTTTCTCCTGGTAATTGTATCATTACGTACAATTTCACTAAGACAAGACACTACTTGACTTTTAGTTTGAGCTTTAGGACAGAACCTTACAACATAAGACTTACATGCATTTTTAAATTTTCTAGTAAATCTATAATTTTTGAGTGAAATCAACTGTTCATGTTCTATGGCTGCACGACATTTTACATTTACTTTTATTTCAGGATCATTTTTGTGACTGATAAGGCATTCCATGATATCATCTTCATCTTTCTTACTTTTAAGCTCTGAAGAGCATAACCTTTCTATTGGTACTCTACAATTGTTGTTAACAACAGCATTAAGTTCTATATGACCACTCTGAGTTTCAGTAAAGTTTGCCACTACTTCTTTGCATTTTGGGGACAATTCTTTTATTTTGCTTTGTAAGCATGCAATTTCTTCTCCCTTGCCTGTATTTTCAAAGCAGATATTTGCTAGATCATCTATACAAAAGTCTTCAATTTCCGGTAACAAATCTACACTTACAGCCCTTTGTCTCATAACTCTCCTGACCTGTTGTTCACAGGGTGGTTTTAAAATGCCTTTCATGTTGTAAGCATAATTGTACAGACAAGGTAATATTAATGGATCTTTTTCAGATTGCTGTTCATTTACATCTGCCCAATGTAGTTTAGCTTTACACTGAGTAACTGCATCATATTTACATGCTTTATATAATTGTGGGTCAAGTTTGAAGTTCCTGGAAATAAAGTATTGAATTTGTAATAATGCTGCTTCACACTCACTCGACATAAGAACTGTTCCAAGTTTCTCCATAAGGCATGACATGACCCTGCCATTGCCTCCATTTATTTCTCTACAAGCTCTATCCACAACTGGCTTACAGGCCTTTCTTAAAATTGGATCAACCCTCCAGTCCTCACCAGGGTCTGCTTCCTGTACCAATATTTCTAGAGATCTCTGACAAGCTATACTTATTCTTTTTTCTTTCCTTCTCCTAGGTCTTGCATGATCCATAAGGCAATGAATAGTTTTACCACCTGTTTCAACCCCTCTACATAATATAGTGATATCATTGGCACAGTTTTGCATTAATTCAGGTGATAATCTATAGTCATCCATCAGTAATTTCCTATGATCAATCATTTCCGTTATGCATTCTGGGGATAGTTTTATGCTTTCATTATGAGATACATTTTCTAGGCATAATAAAATTTGAGCCAAGCGTACATCTTTATCATCAACTACACCTTTTCTACAATGGTATTTTCGGATATCTTCTTTACATGATTTTACAAGGCCCTTACTCATTTTATAATTTAAAACCATATTTCTCTGTCCATAAAATAATTGGTCTTGGCATCTCCTTGTCATACCTGGAAAAATAGAAAAAATACTTTATCTCTTCTTCAGTGAACTTTTAAATATGTGAAAAAAACAGTAAATTACCTTTTTCATATTTGTGAGCTACTAAACATTTGTACATTAACCATGATCCAGGAAGTTCATCAGGGCAAAAATTCTTCTGGTCCATATTACAAGCAGCAAATATAATTTTATCCATTTGCAGGGTGCTATATTTCATTTCTCTAAGTGTTGAAATTTCTGACTGGCATTCTGGTTTTAAATTTTGTTCTTTGTTTTGGAGGCATTTCAGTGTATTTGTCTGTGATAAACTTCTAGGGTCAGGAGGAATTCTCCCACATGTGTAGGTTTGAATATCATCAAAACAGCTTTTTAAGAAATTTCCAACAATTTGCCAGTCATTAAAAATCAGGGATTCAATTTTGATAATAACTCTTAGACAAGCGTTTATTTTCACACTTGGTTTTCTCTTAAAAATACAGTCCACAGTATTTTCAGATGGATTGAAACATTCAGATACTATGGGTTCACTCAAACATGGGTCTTTTAATTTATAATCTAAGAATGCATTATCAAGAAGTTCTGCTTGTTGGGTCCATATTCTGTGCTGACATGTTGTAATAACCTGCGTTCTATTATTATGCGTTGCATTGAGTGCACATGATAAAACTGCCAAGTCTTCAGTTAAATGTGAACATTGTTTCTCTAAAATACTGCAACCATTTAAGTCCAAATTATATTTTCCTTTGTAATCTTTCAATAAGTTATTTGATCCATCATCGCTAGCTGCATATTTAACAAAGTAAGCTAGTACGACCCATAGGAAATCCTTACAAATATTTATCAACATATTGGTACCGGCCTGTTACACTCGCGTACTGTGCATACTTAAACACTTATTGAGTACATCAATTCAGATCAAGAACATAATTGAATTAAATTAATATCATTTACTTCATTAATTTACACTACATAAACGTGGCATTTAAGTTGATGTTTTTATCTATTTGCTATGCTTTTTTCACAAAGAAGAGAAACAAAAATAAAAACTCTTTAGTCAAATGTCAAGACAAATTGTCAATAAAAAAAAAACATTGATTTGACATTGACAATTAATGGTGCTTTATTTATTTTGAGGCAAATATAGATTCAACATACAGCCTCATTCGCAGTTTTGGTCTTTTAAATAAGTCAAAATAAAAGGTTAAGGATACTTTAGCATTTAATATCATATAATTAAAATCTGTTTTTTTTTTTTATCTCAGAGACTATAATGACACATGCAAATGTCAAATTTAGAAATAATATCTAAAACCGATATCTTGGATAAAAGCGGTAATATATTACCTATATGGTTTAATGAGGAAGTATTTAAAAAAAGCATATATAACTCATATTCTATTTGTACTTTTTTGAATTTGTATTGATATTTAAGTTTCGAACTTAATGATATTGGTATAGTCAATGTTTCTATTTGCACTCTTCCTTATCTTTATGATCGAAGTCAACTCATTATTTCCAATCATTTATTCACTTAGTTATTATGTAACTGATATGCTTTTACTCTTTGAACTTTGAAGGTCACCGTTTATTTGACACATATCGATATTTTGGACATCGATATCGACTTACATCGGTATCCGATATATTGTAATTTCTAATGTCAATGTCAATCTGTCGTCATCGTCAATTGTCAAATTGTTATTTATGATTTTACCATTCTGCTTCGGTTTCTTACATTAATGTGAATTATTTCAGACCATTTAAATTCTCAAATTTGTTATGTACTCAGAAATGGAAGGATTCGTTGAAGTTAATGAAATATCAGACTTTATTTCTTACATCCGAAGCGTAAGTATATAATTTCATTACCTATCATAACGATGTCAGATTTAAATCAATCATTTTTATTTATTATATACATCCAATAACGGTAATGTTAATTAATATAAAACTGCTTAGCCGCGCTTATTATTTATGACGATTCAGTTTCAATGTCAAGCTTATTCGAGAAGGAATTAACCGGTACTTATTATAGGTACCGCATAAACATAGCGCATTATGCGAATGACCCTGACACTCGTATTCAATTATAGTAAATGGTTATAATCTTTTTAAGTAGATAGGTATCGACAACTTCTTATTAGAATAAGTGTTAATAAACTATGAATTACTTATACTATAGCTTATAATATATAAAAGCTTCATCTCTACATATTCTGTTGTAAATATATTCGGACGACTTACTAAAGTAACTAAAACATTTTTTTATTATTTCAGATTGAGTGGCGTGATCCATGGTTAATAGCATTACTCTCTTTTCATGTGATTGTAACTTTCACATGTTTTTCAACAAGAAACTATGGGAATTTTCAAATTATACTATTTATTATCCTTTGTAAGTACTTAACATAATTTTTAATTAATTTAAAGGGTATCACTGTAGCAAAGTACATATTCTTTTATCAGAAAAATGCAAACAATAAGTTAGCAAGATTGGTTAAATGTTAGCAATTTATGGCCAGCAAAAGTGGTAATACGTTAACAATTTATGGTCAGCAAATTAGTTACATGTAAGCAATTTATGACCTGCAAAAACATTTCAATATCAAGCATTCTTTATTTACATACTAGACTGAGCTTAAGTTTTCTGTGTAAATAATAATAAAGTATGAGCTATATTAAGTGATTCCCATTTAATTAAATTTCAGTAAGCACATTATACATGTCATAAATTTGTAATTATCTACCTGAGTTTGTCATATTTGTAAGACCCCCTTCACTAGGGTGACATTAAATAGTTTGAAATTATACAAACTGGAATTAATTAAAATGAAACATCTCTTTCAAAATCAAGTAGTTTCATGTCCATTTAAATAATTTTTCAATATGAAATCATACATTTATAAAATTTAAGTTAACCCGTCTCGCGATTTTTTGAACACACAGGTGTGCAAACGCTTCAAGTGCGTTTTGTGACTTAATCGCGTGACGGGTTAAAATTCCACTTCTAGACTATATAAGATATGAAAATGTAAAAATAATCAAAACATTTTGGACATCCCTTGTTACAGTACATCTACTACACTTACCCATTAGTAACTAACACTTATGGAACACAGTAAATTTTTTAAAACTAATGCAATTCAATCACGACTGAGGCATAATTTTGTGTCTAGACAGTGAAAAATTCACAATATGAGTATATAGAATGGCAATCACTTTGGGTAGTGTTATAAGAAGATGTATTTTTAAACATCATTTGAAATAGACAGGAACCTTATTTTTTAGCTAAGCATGTAAGAAGCTTGATGGTGCAGTGATTAATGTGTAAAGTCTGTGATACGGAAGTAGAATATTATACTCTATATTATGTAGGCATATTCTATAATCTTTAATACCAATAGAGGTCGCTAAAATACTCTTTTATTACACTTAATTATACTAGTGCCAGTCATGCATATTTATTTATCGTAACAAAAAAAGAATTAAATAAATTATACTCTTTTTTTATATGTCTGTATTGTACTCTTTGTTTGTCTCCTTTGAAATGAGATATGCTCTTTCGCTTCTTATAACAGTGAGCTACCTTAGATCTTTCATTTTCATATTACATGTAAAAATTTATTAATTTACTTGACATTGGCAGAATTGTGTGAAATGCGCAGATAAGCCATTAATTAAAAAAGAAGAAGAAGTGTCTTTAGTCAAAGCCCATTCATCATACTCAATAATCATAGGAAAGGCTTGTGCCTCATCAGTGGGAACAATAATAATTAATAGGAAGTATTATGGGATAATCCACTCAATTCAAGTGTTCTGAACGCGATCCTGCAGACCAAAAAATTTTCGGGATTAAATGTTTCAAATTCCGACATTTTCGGGATTTTTCATTGTTACGATAAATCTATGGAACAATACACACAAAGTAAAGTTTTATGTTCAGTACTATGCTATTACAAAATAACAAAGGGAGCTGTCCCAGGACGCTGCACAGCCCGTGAAGTACTATTGTTTCTTCAGTATTACTGTCGCAAATTAAATACGTCATAATATGTGATAGTGAGTTTTTTCATATTTTACTATCATCGCCAGTCCCGGGATCTCTGGATTGCCTGTGCGCAATCTCGGAATTGATAAAAAGGCCCGGGATTTAAAATTAAATAACGAATACTTTTCATTATAATTGATTGGTAAGAAAAAGTAAAATTAAATATATTATTTTTCAATCTTGTTTGTGAATAAAATGTGTAATTATTCATTTTGAGTAAAACAAAATCTTAACTGTCTTATGTAATCGTGTCAAAGGCAAATTTTTACATAGAGACAATATTTTTGAAAAGCTAGTCGTTTTTTCATGACTGAATTACGCGATCACTAATCGGAAGTTGCTTTAATAAGAGTTTGAATAATAGTATTCCTTTTAAAAAAGAAGTTTTTAACAGTATTAAAATGAAGAGGTTATTTCCCAATTATGAAAGAAATTCTTTAACTTGTCAATATGGGCTAGGACTTTACAAATAAGCCAAACGAATCCACAAGGAAATCACTGTGCAATCAGTTTTAGGCGCCTTCCATAATCAGTTGTTATATATTAAGTTTTTTAATCCCTTTATCAGAGCGAGAAGTATTAGAATCGGGTATTTTGTTTTGTAGATTATGATATCGTTTGATAGTAAATTTATTAATACACAACTTTAATAAATACTTACCTGCACACATGAGCAAATCATGTTAACGTAATATGTTAATAGGTTTTGGTTTGGATGTATCCTAAAACTTTCCTAGTTAGCTGTTGCCTACTTAAAATCTTGAAACATCTAAAATACCGGTAGATGAAACCTCAATAGAGATTTGATTGCCATTCGTTAAACTCATAGAATTTCAAACACTCCGGCTTTTGATTCGGTCTCTAACCGTACAAGCCCCGCTCTAGCTTAATTCGGCACCGGCTTTCACATGTATGAATTAATTAAGCGGATAATCATTTTAAATCAGTTTTCATTTTTTCATTACAGTACTTTTAGTATATTTTTCGGAGAGCATAAACGAAGTGGCGGCGCGCAATTGGGCGCTGTTCTCCAGGCAACAGTACTTCGACAGTAAAGGCTTATTTATATCCATCGTCTTTTCAATTCCTATATTACTCAACTGCATGATTATGGTGGTGAGTATTACATCGAACTATTCCATAGCTTTATATTTTAAGCCGTTTATTTTAGATAAGTTAATAGCAAATGTGCAATTGTAATTGAGCACAGATATAACAAAGTATTCATTTGATGTAAGATTTCTTATTTATTTTTATATTTTCTTTTCTGTTGTCTTGATAATAAAGAAGGAACTTATAACCACCCTGCCACGCTGTAGATATGTCTGAAATAGGTCGATAAATCCTTATAGCTCTAATCAAGGGAGTACGCCTGTGAATCTCTGAACCAAAAAATAAGAATTTCTGTCTTCTAATATCAAGTTCACCATATGTGTTTAACATATCCCACTAACAAATTATCTATTTACAGTTTTTTTTTTCTTGAACATTATCAAAAAGAGCACAGAAAATAAGACATCATGTTCATTTAGGTAGACATGGTCCATTGACCGGACCTTCATAAGAACATTGCTGAAGGGATCCTTTAATGTGAGGTTCACAAGACGTGCTATCATAGTGGTTATCAAATTTTTTAAAGACCAAAGTTAAATTACGAGCTAGGGCTTGAGCTTCAGCCCAAAAGTTCGGTAACTTTTCTGTGTGTTAGCATAAATCAACGTGATCAACTCCCATGTTTCAGGGCTCATGGTTATACCAGTCGACGCAAATCATGACAAATCTGAAAAAGGCACAACTGAGGCAACGTTTGAAAGAGATAAATATGATTAAGGAACAGCGACATTTGAAGTCTGACTAAACAGTAACGTATAGAAAGTCAATTTTACTATAAGTGAAATTAGTGAGGTGGAAAGGAAATATTTTTTGTTAATGTTGCTAGATGTTGTTGACATTTAGGTAGGTCACAGTGATTTATACTTGAACCAACATAATGATTAAGATAAACACATCTTAATATTTTATTTTTATTTAATCAGTTTTAAAAGTTAATTAAGGGTCATCCATAAGGAAGTTCACACTTTAAAGAGAATAATGTATTAAGGGGTCAATGAAACGCTTTGACTTTGTCCCTCAAGTGGTGAAGAGCCCTGATTTATGGCTTAAGGTGCGTTTCCTCTGCACTAGCAGAAAATTGGTGAAAGTGATCCTAAATTTTGTAACACCACATTTCTAAGTCCGATATAAAATATATATATATATTTTTTTAAATATGACAATAAAATATTTTATATGGAAAATATCCTAAATTTGGAACTGCTGTTATTGCTATGAAAATTTTTAAATATGGAAATGTCACACTACGTTTGTGATCTCATAAGTGTGCCCAACTGTGAAAAGGACAAAAGGGGGGGTCAAAGAATCATGAAATACACGTGACGTTATTTATGGATATCCCTTGATAAGTGAAAATCGATTTCAGCAATTTGACGTTTTGTGGCTACTAATGTGCCTTTGAAATCCTACAAGAAATCACCACTGATATATCCCCAGCAGTGGGTGTCCCAAAAATTTCAACCGATTATATTTATGTCGCAGCCAAGTGGTATAATCAGCCGACCAATTGGGCGGCTAGACCTTCAATGAAATTGAATGGCAGCATTCAATTAAAGGGCTAGTTGTCCATTTGGTCGGCTGATTATACCACTTGGCTGCGATATATACACAACGGGAATGAGGATCAATTTTTTCTCAGATGGGGAACATATTGAATAATCTATGTATATATTTGTTTTTTCCGATTCTCTTTAAACAAATGCTTTAACTATTAATTTAACTACTTAACTTCTGATCAGATAAAGTATACTATGTTGTTTGATTTTACTATACATTCTGATTGTCATGTTCCATCTGTGATCCTTATATATATACCATAATTATAATTGCTAAGTCGCTTCTTTACATTCATGACCTAACGAGTTGGTTCTAGTATAGATAGGAAGGTTTCCCATGCTGATCTAAGTCATAGGTACTACATTTTTGTTCAATTAAATTGAAAAATAATGTGATGTTACAACTTTATTTTGATGAGTTGCAAGTAGATATAGTTGCAATTAAAATCTCTTGCTTGGTAATAACCGAAATCTTTTCTCAGTGATATGAGCATCTCATCAAATTTTTAAAAACTTTTTATTTTAAATAATATTATTAATAGAATAAAGTATTCAAATAGATGGTAAGCAAGTATATTAAATATTAAGGTTTTAATCTTGCCATAGATTTTGACAGTTCGCAATGCATTTTGTAACCAAAAACCAGTAACTGATCGTCAGTATTTCTTCCGTGTTTTAAAAAAGTTTCTATTCTTTGAACAAACTTCTATTTAAATACACCACACCACACACATAAAATATAGAAACATATTATTGCAAGCTATTATATAACTAAATTATCTCCAATAATATGGTTGTTAAAGCTACAAACTATTCCACCGGCACTGTCACACGAGTAATATGCGACAGCGCCGGTATACCATTACAGAGTCTGTCTGCAGATAAACAAGTCTGTAGTATAGTGAATTGTTATAGTCTGTGGTAAATAGTAGATTTGCAGAGATTGAAAAATAATATGTTTGAAAGTTCCAAGTCAAAAATGTGTAATGCTTGTGACATCACCAAAAATCTCATTATATATTTATTGAACCGCAGTCTCTTGTTGATATATGTTCGGACACTGATAGATTAAGTACTTAATAAAAGTAGCGCCTATTGTCACTAATCATCCAAAAGTCAGCTTTGTACAATAATATATAGGTGGACTCACATTACCGCTTTATATAACGATACATCAATGTTCCAGCACGCCTCTGTTAAGTATTATAATAAACAGGAACAATGTAAATATCGGCCTAACGTCGTCCTTCCGTTGTTTATTTAGTTTAAGTTTTGGTTTAAAGATGCTGTAACATATATTTTGTTGTATGCTTCATTTTAATGTGATTTTGCATTTCAATTTAATTCATAGTAACTTTATAATTTTAATATAGTTGCAAAGGTTTATACGTTTTGTTTCGTCTTTAGCATTTAGTTTTGTTATTACCTTGAGCTCAAAGGACGTAGCTATTGTTTGGTTTAAAGTATTTTTTTTTCATTAAAATCACCAAATTGAAATTTAATTATAAAATGTAATCTAAAGTAAAATAGTTTTTTGAATTTACGAATCGATATTTTAGAACCCGCAGTTGCATACCCCTGCTTTAGTGACGTAACTAATGTAAAAAGTCATTTAGGTCTAAATAGCGGTTAGTCTTTGAGCACCAAGGTAACAGTATATGTATATACATTTATTCATTTTTGTATTTAATACGATAAAATTGTTATTGTGAATATCTCAATGCTTGTTTACGCATTCACAATTACTTATTCAGTACTTATTTGAACTACAAACGTATATTATACGTGGCAGAGCGCCTTAGTATCAAATAAAGAGTGAATAAAACGTTATTACAGTAGAACCATGTTTATAACTTACACCGATGTACCTGCGCAGAAGTTTAGTTTTTGAAAACGCGAAAATTGTAAAGTTTATTTTTTTGCACGCGAGTGTCCGTTTCCTATTGGTTGACGCGTACGCGCCATGTTCGTACGCAACATCGTGATAAGTCTGGGCGTTGTACTAAGGATATAAACCTAAAAATTCTCTAAAGAGGCGAATTTACTAAACGGGTATGCCTGCGGGCAAGTCTGCATTTATACCCGCCGGACCTCGCTACTATAGAGGGCGGGCATGTCTGGCTAGTGTATTCCCCGCTTAAGCGTTTTCGGAGACATATTTTTCCGACGCTACTTATAAAAATGGTAGTACTGTACTGTACGTTTTATTAATTTTGTAATTTTACATAAAGTGCCATTATATATACAGCAATCGTACATTCACAGTGACTATTTTAGTTAAGTGTAATAAATAAATAATACAACAGGCGATTGTGATTGAAAACATGGTGCAATATATACTTAGGTTACGGTTATATTGTAAAATTCTATTTTGCGGAGAATTAGCTCTAAGTTAATTGTAAGGACGTATGTTACATTTTATTATCACCGTAGTGATTACGAAGCTTTGATATTATATTTAGTTATGTAACATTAATGTTTCAGACTTGATCTGACTCAAATAGGAATAAGCTTTTGATATGTCAAAACAAAATACAACGATACTACCTACTACCAACTCCCAAATCAGAGTCAAATAGAGTCGCAGGCATCCATAAATATATATATATATATTTACAATCGCTCTTACTACACTATTCAATTCTAAAAATTCCAATGTAACTTGTAAGCAGTGTTGCCAGTTTTGATATCAATATTAACTATAACAAGAAATGCTATTAAAATATTTCAGATACTAAAAATTAAACTAATCATTCAATAAAATGATCAAAATACTCGATATAGGTGCTGTACTTTAGAAAAAAATAGTAACCAGTCAATGGAAATTTAAGAATTTAATTTTAACAACTTTGTTTATAAAGTAATTTGCCCATCTCTGCTTACAAGTTTTATTTTTTAATTAAGGTACGGATAAGTGATGTTCTAATTCGTGTCCTGATATAGCATTCATAGAGGCCTTGCTATGTGATATTCATATGAGATCGCGATTCAAATAAACTACAATGCAATGAGTTATCATCATCTGATCCTTGATTTACTTTGATCCTCGCCAGTGACTCAAAATCCATAAGGGAATGACGGCACGAATAAAGTTATCATCGCCGATGAATTTCCGGCGACATATTTTGATGTTAATTCATGTATATGTAGCTAATGACAATTAACATTTACCTCAATCAATTTTCAACTTTACTGTTACACGTTAATGTGCGAAATCAATTGTAATAATATATTATATTAACAGTGCATATCCGATTATTTATATTATTACCGATTATCGTCTACATAATGTCGTCAGTGAAATCACTCGTAAGAATACTATTAGATAGTCAGTTATAATTGTGACTTGTTTTGTATTTGTGCACATAGAGTAAAAACGATTATAAAATCATTACGGTGACTCGGTGAATTTGAAATGTGGGATGAACATCCCACTTTCCAAAGTTACTGACAAGAATGGATCAGTCAAAATGTCAACTTCATCCAGAACGACATATCTACTTATTCCCGTAGTCCACAGTACCGAATTGCGAGTCAATAAATGAAGTGAAAATTTAAGACTAAAGAAATTTTGTGTGTTAAATATAATTATACCACAATTTATATGTATATAGCATTAGGTAACACTAGGCATACTCTGGTAATATTTGGGAGTCGTTACCAGGTCCTTCAAATTTTGTAACTCGATGTCGGGTTGTTAGTTTACAAGTTTGTTGCAGTTTTCAACCTAATTGCACTGCACTGTAACTAATTTGATATGACAATAATTCAGACAAACCTTATGGCGTCTCCAAAGTATAAATACTACCTTACTGATGTCCCGTCTTTCTCTCGTCCTGATAACACAAAAAAAATCTCAATTTACATAGAGGTAGTTCCTTGACGTCATAACCTTTGCGTGATGAATAATGCTTTTTGAAGTCGCATGTAAATACAAGGTGAATTTATGTAAGATAGCTTTGCGAATTAGTAATAAATTGAAGACTGATTGAAGAGTTTTATGATGTTAAGTTTAAACGACTAGAAATATTGTCCTTTAATATAATTTCTAAAAGGAAAATCTACTTAAAATGGAAACGAAAAAGTTAACGGTTTGCCACATTAGGGCAATTATGTTTAAAAAAGTATAGATGGGTTATCTGCGCAAAACATTGACAACAAGAAAGCAAGGTAATTGGCTGAGTTTCACTTTAGTCACGTTTCAGTTAGCGTTGTGGCTAATGTCATTTTCAATCGTAATTATCCGTGAAAAGTTGTAGGAAAAATGCCTTCCTGCTTGTTTATACAATGCAAAAATTACACATTGACAACGAGAAAAACAAAAACCATTTCATTTCAAGCGTAAGTACGGTACTTACTCTTTTTTATTTTAATAAAAATAATAAAACGTCATCGAACGCGGCCATTTTTTCGTGCATCGTGTTCTTTGACTAGGGGGGGAGATTGGAGTTGACACGTACAAAGCTAAGCAAGTATGTTTATCTCGTTCTAACAAAAGGTATGCTGTATGATTCTAATAGCGGGATAACTATTATTTACTTATTCGTTCCCTTTGTGGTGGTATTATAATGTAACGCTACGACAATAAAGTTTACGCCATTTTAAAACGCAATAATGGATATGACGTGCTCGTCTAATAATAAAACGTTATTGATTAGCGTAATCAGTTTTCGTCAAAATGCAACCTATTTTATTTTAAATCCGACTTGATTGGACGAAAATATGCTCTTCTTTTAACCTTTTTTGGCCCATTACGAGGAATGTATCGCGTGTCACAGATTAAATGTACTCATCGATCGATGCTATGAAAATAAACAGTTTCTTCATTCTTATTGGTTCGTCTGATTTCGTAGGAGTCAAAAGTTATTTATTACACGAATTATGGATTTTTTCACGGCGGCAACACAATCAGCATAGAAGCCTGTTAAAGTCGTGGTATACCGCTAACTTCTATCGACACCTGCAGTCCGACCGCAGTCGTTTGACTTTGTGAAAGCCCTATATAAATGTTTGTATATAACGAAAGAATTAATAGCATCACATAATTTTGTAAGCAATGTTAATTTGCGCTAGGAGCTGTTTATTTAATGTACTATAGGATTTGTTTATTTGTATAATGTTTTCAATGTAAGTATACCGTATTTTGTTGATATTGAGATATTGCCATTAACATTATTTTAATTGTGTAATACTTAGTATAAGTAATTATTATGTTTTCGGTTTGTGAAAATTCGAATAAAGGATACGGAAAACGAATATTAAAATGTTTGTTATTTAAAAAACCAAAACGTGTCTGTTCTTTGAAAGTTGATTAGATATGACATTAATTGTGTCTCTATTTTTCAGTAACAGAGTCTCCCTTTTGTATTTTTGAAGTGTGTTATTAGCATAGGGGGCGTCCATAAATTACGTGAGGTGTTTTTTCAAATTTTCTGACCCTCCCTCCCCCCCTGGTGAGATGTCGTGAGATTTTATTCAATCCCCTCCCCCATCCCCAAATCTCACGTGAGATTTTTCAAAATGTGGGTTTCTTATTTAAGTAGTTACTTTTATTTACGACTAGTTAGAGACTACTAATCAATATTGCTCTCATTCATCGAGTCACATGTTCAGCTGACAATGGCGCGAAAACAAAGGACGAGCTACATTGTACCGTAAATTCAAATTAAATTGAGCTATTTGGTATAAAACGAGTATAGTGGTTTGACAATCAGGAGTGATGTATAATGTCAAAGTACAAATGAAATTATTTTCTTTCCAACGAATTAGTGAATGATCTCAACCTTAGACTTGTCACTCTATGAGGGATTCCCCGCACCGAGCCTTATTTTAAAAATTGCGTGATATTTGCCGAGACCCCCCCTCTCCAACGTGAGATTAGATGAGATTTGACTCGACCCCCTCCCCCCCTTAAACATCTCACGTAATTTATGGACGCCCCCATAGTTTGACATTCCGCATTAAAAGGTGACAAATTGCCGGGTACAGATTACCTAAGAGCACGTCGGCTTATATAAAACTGTCATAGTTCTCTGCACTATTTTAAACTTCAATACACTATGGGCAGAATTCAAAATCAATTGCTTAAAGAATCATGTCCAATTTTGACCTAAAAATTTACTAACGCGTCTAGTGATGTGACATATCTCAAAAAATAGCTTCTTTTTTTGTATTTTTTCATATCAGGAATTGCCTTCTGATACTGTTCCGGCAATGCACATAAAGGAATATTTTTTTTATAACTGCAAAAAAAAAACTGTCGTTAATTCGTGAAAACGAGACTTAAGACAATTTGCAAATATTTATTCACCAGCACAGACAATATATGTTACTCTGCTGTGGTGTCATTAAAATGATTAGGTATTGATAAGTTATTCAACAATATTTATTTTATTTATTTTACAAATTCAATTATAAATTTAATTGAACATATGCAATGTCCATGTACCAAAAAGTTGAATACCACAATCAGAATATAAATATTACATTGCATAAGTACTTATAACGTGGTGTTTATATACTTATATCCTTAGATATTACGCTTTCTTTAAAATTTCCTACATATTTTCTAGGATCTATTTACGTATACAAGTACAGTAAGGTTCAATTAACGTGGCTCACCGATGTACCTGCGCTGAAGAATAAATTTCGAAGCGCGGCAAATGTCGGCTAATCAAATGATTCAAGTACTGTTGTATTTTACACTTTATGACCATTGAAACAAGAATCACTTTAAATTTTAAAAGTACGTTTTGTCATTGTGGGATATTAGTTGCGCCATATTAATTAGAACTTACTGTACAAGTTATTGGGATCAAGAAATCCACTTTTACTGAGATAGGAACTTCGAAAGCTCTTTGATATATGTTAACAAGAGAAACCATTCGCCTCCACTTTCTCTCTGACTTCATCGAACATAAGCTTCACGAGATTGTCTAGGTCAATTTCTGGCTTCCAATCCCAATCGCGTCGAGCGTCGCTGTCGTCGAACACTTGTGGCCATGAATCCGCTGAAATTGTTTAAATATTTTTTTACTCACTCATTACTTAAACAATAAATATTCCTACAAAAGAACATGAATTAGTTTTAACACTTTATCGAACTTCCTATATAATATAAACACAGTGTGGTATCTTCACGCATTTATGCTTTATTCTTTCATTGTCTTGCTAAGGGTATAAGAAAAATATATATTGTTGAATATTTATTTATTCATTTTAGGGTTCCGTAGTCAACTAGGAACGCTTAGTTTATCCATGTCCGTCTATCTGTCTGACCGTCTGTCAGCCGCTAACCTTAAAAACTAGTGGTACTAGATTTTTGGCAGGAGAATACACGCTAATCACGCCGACAAAGTAGTAAAATAAAAAAGTAATTTTGTTAGGTGCGTACGTGTAAAGTGGGATGGTATTTTTTTTTCGTCTTCCTTAGTATGGGTTATCGTTGGATAGGTCTTTCAAAAATATTGGCGGTTTGGAAAGACTGACTAGGCATTTAGTATATCGTCCTTGACATTAGGCCTTAAAGTGCCATTTTTCAATAAGAATTACGTTCCTCCTTCTACCAACTAAACGGTTGTTGTTAGAAATTCAAACATCACGGCAGTAGTATCAAGTTATAACGAAGATAAAAGGAAAAATATCACACTTAAGTTGACTTTACAAGTTTACGTGTGATAATTTTACTCGATAATTTCTAACAACTTCATAGAAAACAACAAACGTGTTTTTTGCGTTTTTATGGATAATAGTACGAAACCCTACGTGCATGAGTCCGACTCGAACTTGGACGGTTCTTCATTGATTTTTATAACTACAAATAAAACATCAAAAAGAACAAAGTATAAAGACAAAACTTACCTATATCTTGCCTACTGTCAGGTTGGTACGTAATTTTCATATCTTGTACATGCTTCGACATGGCCTCCACTAGTTCTTCAGGAGTGAAGCTCATCGCAGTCACATTGTAACATCTTCTCAGAAGCCGTTCATTTGGTACCTCCAGATACTCTGATAGGGCTCGCAAGGCGTCCCTCAAATGCATCATAGGAAGTCGCGTGTGTGGCTTCAAATAGCATTTGTATTGACCCTTACGAATAATATCGTGAAAAATGGCAATAGCATAGTCTGAAATAGTTGTCAAAGTTAGCATTTTAAGCAAAACAAAAGCATATTGTACTGCAAACAGCCAAGGCCTTCGAGCCTTGGCTGTTCTCAGAAAGCAAAATTTCGTCTATTTTCTAAATGCTAATAAGACTCCAAAGAATCGCATTCGTTCGATGTTCATTTATGATGCAACAGAGATATATCCTGATACCGCCTCTGATGCTGACATAATCTTCACGCATATGATATTAAGTAAATGAACGATTTGAAATTTTCTGAATTTTAGTTCGAGATTCGAGGAGAGCTCGCCTTCTGAACTTTAGCTTTCTCAAATCGGCTGAGTGCTAACATGAGCATATGCGATCTGTAACCTCGATATTCGTGGTATGTCAGGATCACTCGCGAAAATTTTTATCCTGCCTGAGTATACCAGTCAAGGTTTTTTAGTACATATTTCAAGAGATTAATTATTCTGATCGCCAATTGAAAAAGCCTTAGTGTGAATATTGTATGAGATGTGACTAAAGAACATTTTATACAACTGTGTACTGGAAATGGAGTTCTATTATTTTTTTGGACCCATTATTATTATAATATACACATGACTACTAAATACTTTAGTTAGTTCATTAGAAAATCACCACCAGGTTTGTCGTAACGGGATATACTCTGAAACTACCAAACGGATCATCATTGGTAGAATAGAGATGATTATTGGGTTAAAAAAATTATTTAGTCCGTCAGTCAGATAATAATAATATTAATATATATTTTGTTAATTTTAAACAACATCACGTTATATTGCTCAGATTCCAAGATGAGTAGCTAAAGCCCTCGTATTATGGAGTATATGAGATAACGAAGGTACCACAACACTCAGACCTGAGACAATATAAAAAAGTTCATTTTCTATATTGACTCGACCGGGAATCGAACCTGGGACCTCATCAGAGATGGCGACAACTAGAACTGGCGTGCGAACCACTCTGCTACGGAGGTCGTCATAATAGAAAAATATTAGATACATATTTTTTACTTCAATTTAACAAGAAATAGCTGAGATAACAGGCTTTAAAGTTGAAAAGTGGGGGCTCGCTACATCATAGTTTTGTAGTAAATGTACAAAATGACGTCATGTGACATTTTAACTCGATGTATCAACGTAATTTAATGATTAGGTACGCAAAAAAATAAAAAATACGTGCTTTATATTTTTCAACAATCTACCTGACGAACAAACAATAAAAATTTAGTCGTTTATATTTCTACGAAAAATTAACGATTCATTACGGTTTTCGTATAAATTGACTGACTATCTTCTAACGTACTAACGTACAAATACATTAATTATTTCTCAACGAAACCAAAAGGCTTACTCTTGAACGCAATCAATTTCAATGTCAATTTCAATCCAATCCAAAGATCTCAATTTTCATCAAATTTTACTTTGTACTCTTGAAACATAGATTCAATACTAACACACGCAATATTGAGACAATAGGCGCTAGTATACCAAATCACGAGTACGAAACATCACAATTGCAATGTCGAACGCGATTTCATTCAAGAGTAATCATGCAGTACAGGATTTACAAAAAATACTTATAAACTTACCTGTGGTTCCTCCTCCTGGTGGGTCGCTAGAAATCACACCGGGGAATCTCAAACATCGGAAATCAAGACCAAATTTGTAGAAATAGTATTCTCCCAACAGTTCTGCGTGAACTTTCGATACACCATATATTGTCCTCGGTCTCTGTATAGTCACGTTCGGTGTCGGGTTTCTTGGCGAATCAGGTCCAAACGCCCCAATAGTGCTAGGCACAAAAATTCTTAACTTGTACTGTTTCGCCAATTCAATTACGTTATGCATACCTTCTATGTTAACTCGAACAGCTAAGGGTACATTTTGTTCACCGATAGCGCTGAGTAAAGCTGAGAAGTGTATCAGCCAATCCACTCTGTGGTCCACCACTACTTTCTGTAGTCCCTTGAAGTCCAAAATGTCTACGAAGATATATGGACCGTCGTTGACTATCTCTTTGGAAGGTTTAATAATGTCTGAGAGTATGACATTTTCTCTACCATATTTGTTGCGTAAGTACTTCGCACATTCAACACCCAATTGACCTAGGCCTCCTGAGAACATAAAAATATTATTTTTTTTATAGATTGTTCTATAACACTATATGCAGTGTACACCATTCCAAAGAAAAACATTTAAATTTTCCCTTGTTCAAATTTTCCCTAGTTTAAATATAGTGCTTTGTTGTTGTCTTCGGTCCGTTTATGACGCGACCCCGTGTTGATATATATATATAAAAGATTTGTGAAAAATTTTCTAACGGCTTCCAAGTAGGGTAGCCTGGGTACGGTTGTAACAACTCGAATATCATTGAAACTATGAATGGTAGGTGAGGGGCAAAAAGGGAAGGGCATGCGGGTAACAAATCTCGACACGATCGTCAATATAGAATCACCTTTCGCACGGTAATAACGCTTACAAGGAGGCCCCTTGTGTTTTGTCAACCAAAAGTAAATATTTCTGGGGTATTTCTTTATGATATAGCTTAAATATTAATATAATTATCGTATTTCGAAATGTGCTTATGTAATCGTCGTATTTTTAAGATTATAATAAGCTCATTCGTTTTTGTATATGTTATGCTACCTCATCCTTTTGATAGACTTATTATCAAAATGGGAGGGTGGGGACGGTTGTAACGATTTTCATGGGGACGGTTGTAACATTAATTTTATAATATTTTTGTATTGTGGATGCCTAGGAAACGCATAAGAAAGACTTCGGGAGGTGGAAGTGACATTTTGTCGTACAATAACACTTACGATGAAGTTAAATTAGGGGCTTATTTAAAGCAAGCTGCAGAGATGTACGGCGTTAACTATGTATCTCTTTTGAGATACAAGCGAAAGCCGTATGCAGTTAATTAAGATAACCAAGAACAGGTTACACATGTTAGCATGGGATATGTAGCTCATAATAGAGTTTTTAGCGAATACCAAGAGCGGTATTATTGCCTTCTTTGCCTAGAGACGTATTTTGGTACTTGGTCTGAAGAGAGTTGGATTCAGTGTCAAGGAGGCTGCAAACAATGGTCTCACGTAGCTTGTACTGATGGAAATATAAATTATATATGCCATAATTGCGATGAGTTTGATTTAATATAGTAAAAAAAACTATTGTATAACCTCAGGTATTGTTGACTCACTTTGATTAATTATTATTATTTAAAAATACCATTTAAATGTGCCTCAAATGTTGTTATTTTGTATTTAGTGCATTTAGTTATTTTTTATGAATAAAACTGATTTATTACGTGGGATTTATATATTATTTACAACTGACCCCTATAAGTGTTACAACCGCCCCTGGTGTGGGGTCGATTGTAACAATCGCACACACTCTTTAAAACGGCTTATTTCTGCTAAACTGTCTTACCTAAGCTATTAATTTTGATATTAATTTAAAGAAAAATAAATATACTTTCATTTCAAAAACTTTGGTGGTTGTTCCCAGTTGTGATAGCTGTGCTGTGGACGATTAAAGAAAAATTGTTACAACCGTACCCAGCCTACCCTATAAGTAGTATATTACTCTTTATAGTTTGAACCTAGTTATGGATTGCATTTCCGAATTCTTATAAATATGTTCCTGTGACGTATTTATTTTTATTATCAGAATATATAGGTATCTACATACTTTATTTTCGTTTAAAATCATAATAACCATCTATAAAGTCTTTATACTACCAAAAAGCATCTACACTATAGATACTGCTGCTACTACGCCGGGTAGGTACGAGTATTACTAGCAATAACCACAAAGAGGCCAAGGGGCGAATAACGTTACCTAAGGAAGCACAGTACGTCTTAGATGTCTGTGTGATATGAAATTATTAAATAAAAACACTGCAATAAGAAAAATACAAAGTATACACATAAACATATATATGTCGTAGTCAAATGGATAAAACAGCCATACAATCGGATGGTGAAGTTATATATTGTTGATTTCCGCTACCTATTACGTTTTCGCGAGGGATTTACTTTCTGTGTCATAAGAAATCGCCTATTTAAATGGGACATAGCCTTCTTTACCTATCGTTTGTAAACACGTCAAATATACAAACATATCAAACTTGAACAACACATAATATTTATACTACCTAAGACCGAGATAATAAATATAATGCCATACACAAGTAAACAACATAATTTGCTATTATTTGCAAAATAACAGAGTCGTTGAAATAACATACGCAACAGTTTGACACGTTTTGTTTGGTGCAAAAACAATGCGTAGTAGCGGGAATACCTTCCTTTACATAACACAATTTTTTTTTTTTAAATTAACTCAGCTCAAAGCCGAATTTCATGTAAAAAATGATGTTAACCATAGGAAAGTAAAATACGCGATTTTTTTGAGCGTAAAATTAAGAAAGCAGCAAATTTTTACTAGGTTTTTGGCGGCAAATATGTTAGTTTTGTTTTATATCTTTACTTCTTCATAAGTAATCGATAGCGTGAGAATTTTTGTCTGCCGCTTATGTCGATAACAGGTTTCTTTTCACTTTCAAAGTTTCCATAAAAAATTACTGCCGCCGAAGTGTTTTAACTTTCCACATCTTATCACCGTAATTATGTGTTACCTTACTACCTAGGTCGATATTGCGATCGAATTGTGATATTACGGCACGGTTAATTGGAAAAATTCACGCAAACCTTCACACAACGAAAATAAACAGGTTATTTATTTAACGCAACAGACAATTCAAACCAAGTACTTAATCTTTTTAATATATAAGTATATTTTAAACATCACACATGTATTTAAATCCCAAGTTGTAGGTAGCCAAAGCTCTTGTATCTTTTATTATAACTCTATACATAGGATCACTAAGACGAAAGTTCATATATAGACCCGACCGGGAATCAACCTCGGAGCCTCAGAGATGGCGACACTTTAAATCCAAACTACTCAGCTACTGATGCCGTAAATGAACTCCAGGTGGACCTAGCCACATAAAAACCGGCAAGAATGCATTGATAAAAAGCATAAATGTCGAGGAAGCGAGAAATACTAGTAGAGGTCATTATTTCGGCGCTCTGTTCTTCTTAGGTTATATATTTATCTTACTCTTGACACCATATTCATTGTTTTAATAAGTCAACCAACAATACGGCGATATCGAGTAGACGTATCAATTAAATGAAGCTAAATTTAGTAGCATAAAATAGTTTTTTAGTCGTACATAACGCAAGTACTAACGTTACTTACGGACGACAGCGGATAATTTGTCTATGCTTTATAGCAGGACCCGTTCCGAAAAAAATTAGTAACTTAAAGTTTAATTTTATCATGTAGGTCAATTCATACTTCATTATACACCTTTTATAAAGCTAAGTCTTATTCTATTGACTTGAACTTTCATTTTTTTCACGTTTAACCCAAATAATTATCTGCTTATTATTAATTATATCTAAACTTACCGGTTATCAATATTTTCGGTGGATTTTTATCCAAAGATTTTATTGAATAATATCTAACATTGCATTTCAACGTTGTTCTGTATAAATTTCTCAATAGCATCGTTTTTATTAAGACCTAAATATACGCACGATAAATCACTATGTAAGACGAATGCTAACTGGCTAGTAAAGGGGGCAAAATGAAAACCTGTCGTATGAACAGCAGATGACGTACACAAGAAAACGTAGATCGATTACATATTATCAAATTGAACCTTAATACAAGACATTTTGAGTTATTAACAGGTGGGTGTGTCGACTCTACAAGAAGTTGTGCGTGTTTGGCATTGAAGTTTTCGCACGGAGGCCTGGTTGCGACGTCACACCACGTGGAGAATATAGAGATCGTTACGCCAAAGTAAAACTAATTGTTGTATCTAAGCTGTTTGTATAAAAACTGGCGGATTTATTAATCTGATATAGTTCACAGTAGACCAATGAATCCGTTAAGGAAGTCATACCTACTTACGTATGGAAAATAGACCGCTGAAATGTAATGAGATTATGTACCGAACGCAGTTCATTGTTCACGGTAGAAGATAAGAATTGCGTAACTAAATACCACAGTTTTGCATAAAGCCAAGGTTAAGATATAATGTAGTACTCTAGATTTGGAATTAGGTAATCCTTGTCTTGATATGGACAATGGAAATTAGAGAACAAAACAACCCAGTTAGAATCAGCAAATTCAAATAAACGTAAATGACACGAAAAATATCTATCGTGCATATTTATTAAATTAGTCAAATTTAGTTTAAAAAAATCTCGAATTTATAAGCAGTGTTATATTTCTACATAAATATATATGTTGATTTAGATGAAAACGAATATCCTGACTTATTATTTTAAAGAAAACTGGTTATACTGTAACTGAATACGGAGATTTATACCCGTAATATTTCGAGCACCTCTCTAAGATAATAACCGTTTAGGACTAATATTAATTTTAGTTACTACAACTTAATTATGTTCAAAGAACCAACGGCGTTACCTTACGCCTATACTCTAATTACTTATTCGATCGTAATTGTCATTGTCAGTTAATTGATTAATAGTCAGTCCTTAGTAAGGACCTATTTAGCTTCTTCTGATATTTTCAGTTTCACTATTGTCAATTTCATAGTAATTCATAAAATATAATGCGTATCTATTACAATGATGAATTATATAATACTAGCGCCTTCTTACTTCCCTTTACCAATTCCAAGGTGAACAAGGTACGGAGTGACTGACATTTGAGGTAATGTTTGCTAAAAAACTCCGCAAAAAATAATAATGACGTCTTGTGTTTTATAATAATATTCGGTGAGCATTTAGATAATTTTAAATTGCAAATAATAAAAATTTATAGTTAAATCAATTCGCTTTCCGTATGTCTGTCCCTATGTATGCTTAGATCTTTAGAACAACGCAAAGGATTTCGATGCGGTTTTGAACCGCCTTCAGCCCTACGATTCTGTAAAAATTCAGACCCGACTTCGAATTCACGTCAACAAAATTGAATGAATATACGTGTCTCAGATATTATATTCCTATGTCATTTCGAAACTCACTTATGCCACGAACCAAATCAAGGTTGAACGGATGCTTCTTTTTGAAGTGACACCAAAGTGAATTCGAATTCTGGTTGGGATTTTTAGCACAGGGTAAGTCTTTTTTCTGTTCTTATGCTCGTTTTTTCTATCAGGCGTTACGACACATTTTTTTTAAAGCACTGAACTAATTCCACAAAATTTAAATGGCTTATTTAGCAGGGTACTAAAAAGAAACATACTTACCTGCTTTTATTTAAGTTGATTGAAAGTACTTATTTAAACTACCACTCCATTAAAATTGATTAAAAATAAGTACTAAAGATAAAACTACAACAAAATGT